AAATGTGAAAAGTGGTCGTAACTAGAGCTGGTCGCTTACGAGAGTGGTCCTAAGGAGAGCCTCGACTGTACTTATTTTCAACGATTGTCTTCCAGAATTGGACTAAGCTCGCTGGTAATTAGCAAGGGGTTTAGGCCAATCAGAAACGGAGAAATATTTTGAACTATTTCCTTTACCTTATCAAAGTAAGTGTTGCGACTACATTGATAGTCTTTCCATGCATCTCCTGCAACATAACTATTTACCAGTGTGAAATATAACATGTTATAGTCACGTGTGAAGAGATTTTTTTTTTCGCGAAAGCTCACCTTGTATTTTATTGGTGTTTATATATTATAATAGCGTAGGATACATCTTTGTTTAATGTTAGTAGATGCGACTGAAGCTTAACTTAAGTTAGATACATTTTACATCGCACACTTTCCAATCGGGGGGCCCATTTCTTGACAGTTTCAATAGGGGTTCGTCACGCGTTTTTGCCCGGGCAGAAACGCGGGTCGAGCCCCTAAGAACCTCTGCGTGGGTGGAAGGCTATACCTCTTCAGGCCCAGTTAGCTATATCAGGTCTGCAATACTCACACTGATGCTTCAGAGTTTGAAGGTAATGCAATGAAACCTCTACGCTAATGAAACAAATGCGGGCTAGAGTTAGCACTTTCATTCGTAACATGGGCCTAAAAACTTGAAAAGAGTTTTGAGAAACGAACCACCAGACGGGGTGAGTTAGCCTGAATAGCAGGCGTCGAAAAGGGGATAGGGAGGGAGAGAAAAAGGGAGGAGGATTGGGTTAGGGTTCGCGCTTTTCTCCCTCACCCCTCCCCTTTTTGCGCCTCCCACGCAGGCTAGGGTGAGTCTTCTTCACTTATCACTAAAGTGTTGCGAAATCCTTCCGTATTCCTTACACAATAATTGAAACAGCTTTAGATAACTTCTAAGTAAGGTTACTGCTAAATAAGAACAACTATTTAACTACGTTTTCATCACCCAGAAATCGCTTGATTAAAAATTACACCCCTAGTTCCTTTTAGTTCATACACAACTATATCTTTCCCTTTTATAAGCATTACTAAGCTAATCTTTACATCAACTTGCTAACTAAAATACATTAAAACTAGTGCTTCTTTCTACATATTTCATTACTGATTTCTGAGCTAGAGTGATCTTACTTGACCCGTGGTAGAATACTACGCACTATTATGCACCAATTCCATTGTCTTCGTTTGTTACCTCTTGCCATTTTTCACTATTTGTTAGTATTTGTTTTACGGTTCAAGTAAAATCACTCTAAATTAAATAACTAAATTACTATAACAGCAAAATACAGATTAAACTAGAAACGTTTCTTTAAATACTATTAAGACGGAATCCACCAGGAAAATGTGTAATCTTAATTCTCAAAGGACAAAAACCTTGTACCAGAATGATATAAAGAATATAATTATATATTTTTACAGTTTTTAAGGCCTTAAGATGTAATTAGTCATTTGTAATAACACCAAAGAAAATTTCTTATGGGAGTCCGAGAAAATGAATGTCAAATTTCATAAGAATTGTAAAAACACAGGTAAAATTCGGAAAACTTTACGTTAAAGATAAAATTTTCTGAAATTTGACATTTGATTTCTCGGGCTCCCATAAGAAGTTTTCTTTGGTGTTACTACAGATGACTAATTTCATTTTTAGCCATTGAAAAAGGTAAAAAACAATGCGATATTGTTTAAATTATTCTGGTACAAGGTTTTTGTCCACAGAAAATTGCAATTACTCAATTTCCTGATGGATTCCATCTTAATAATTAAAATGTCAAGGGCAATCACAACAACCACTGACAACAACTGTCGCGCCATAAGCACAATAAAACAATGGCAGGCGTTATTGACTGTAATTAATATTCCCTTTTCAAAGCTACTGTAACTGTTTAAGGACTTGTTTATAGGGAGGTGGGGAACCCCAGGTAGGTGAGGTAACCCCCCTGTCCATATAATCTCTCATTTTCATTTGATCACATTTACATGATAGGCAGGGTGACCATATGAGAGATTATATGGACAGGCAGGTTTACCCACCAAAGCGGGTTACATCACCTACCTGGGGTCTCCCACCTCCATGTAAACAGGCCTTACATATGTGAAAATCATCAGTCCACCAAATTTATATTTATCACTTGTGAAAAATCGGTTAAATGAGCAACTTGGGTTTCAGGACCCAGTTGCATGTTGTTTACAAATAGGTGATAATGACAGCATTTCCCAACACAATCGTCCATGCACATTCACAAACACCATTGATGTGAGGACTTTTGCACAAAGAGAATACAGTGACAATTCTTTCATTGCGTGGCAGAGGCAGTATGATATTCAGTGTTCAAACTGAATTAAAATGAATGGAAAATGTTCGTGTACCGACATCCACATTACTCAAAACACTTTCTAATGCTACATATAAGTTATTAATAATAATATTTATAATAATTAATTTGTGACGTTAATAATATTCTTAAATTAATAAATATGAACTACCACAGCAATATAAAGATAAAAATAAAAGGTAACTAGCAAGAGTTCTATGGCCAGCTGGTTAGAGTGAGAAGTCATTTATTTTCTTAATTCTCGCATTTGGATGTTCAGTGAAGTGGGTAGAATTATGCCATTGGCACTCTTGATGAAAAGTCAAATTTTGTTGCATAAAAAAAATCCAATGGAATTTAGAGGAAGAGTTTCTCAGTTTATCATTAAGTTACTTAGGGTTTTCTTTAAGTAGACTGAAATGTTAATCATTCTATGATATACTAGATAGCTTCTTGTGTTGACATGAAAAGCTATCCAGCATGGTATGAACAGCAATGGCCTGGGAACATTATGCTGGAGCAGTTGGCTGAGAGGATTTGGTACACTAAATTCCAATCCTCTCTCCTGAATATTTTCTTCCATCTCGGTGGGTTCCAATCCCTGCTCCCACTCATTCACTTTCCCTATCCGTACGGTCCGAATACCTGTTCACAGTGCACTAAAATGTGGCACGGAACGTATCCGATATAGGAAGCTACACATTCAAAATTGGCGTGTGGTGGTGTGGCATGGCACAGCTTCGCTCTGTTACGGAAATCGGGAACAGAAGCCCTATCTGGTAGGGTTTTGTGCTACTGCAAGAGCTATCCAGTACACTGTGAACATGGTCTCAATTCAATATCCTTGTAGCACGCCACAGATTACATACTTTGAGTAAACCTTCATAAGCATCATGTCAGGTCAGCTTATGAGTACCGTAAATCCTCTATTAAACCCCACCCCCTCTCAAATAAGCCCCTCCCTCTCTATTAAGCCCCCCTCCCCACCCCTAATTACTCTTAACTAATAAATGATAGACTGCATTAACCAATCACGACTGTAAAACTTTGTGTGGACTGGTGCCAGATGGTTTATTTACCAACTGGAAGTTCGGATTTGATTCTGATCCTTGGCTGTGTAACCTAAAAATTCTTGCACTTCAGCTTTTCCACTTTGTATTCTAGTTCTTTATGGAGAACTGATACCCTCGTTTTTTAATAAGTTCAATAAGCCCCCCATCTCTATTAAGCCTCCTCTCAAACGGGCTTGAAATAAATAACCCCCTGAGTGGCTAATAGAAGATTTACAGTATATGCATAATGTTGGATTATTAATTTTAGTCTTCACTCTTTGCCTTTCTGTTTTTTCGTTACATAACTGAAGGGGCTACATGTATGTCAAGGTAAAATTATGTATTTTGGGTGATTCTGTGTATCTCACCAGGGTTCCAATCAATTTAATTATTTGTAATGACTAGTTTAATTTGCATTCAAATAAAACTACAATAAGGGACTTGTCAGAAATTAGCAGGGGGAGCGGGGGATGGGGGGGCGGGTGGGAATTTTAAATTTGGGTTCGGAAATGAGGTGACCCATTTCTGCAATGGTCGTGAAATTTGCTAACCCCCCCCCCCTTGACCTTGGCCTAAAATATCATGACCCTCCCCCTCTTGTATAAATGACAAAATCTAGTTCTTACAATACACTAGGGTGGGTCAGTATTATGAAAGCTCAAAATATATTTCTAATCTGTTCATTGTAATGCCATATAAATACAATTTAGATGATGGCATTAAGAGTCTGACTCTGATTCTTTTCAACTTCTTTTTTCTTGTGTGGGTGAACCTCCACATGATCACGGACACATATTTGCATGACCCTCCCCCTTTTAACAGCCCATTTTTCATGACCCCTCCCTTTTCTGCAGTCTCAAAAAGTTGTGACCCTCCCTCTGCTTCCATCCCCCTCCCCCCTGCTAATTTCTGACAAATCCCTAACATGTACCTAATTGTGCAACTTTGCCCCTTTAATTTTGCCCCACTGAAAAAGCAGAGTATACCTGTATCCAAGAGCCATAACGGGACCTGTCCCCTTGTGGCTCTTGCTGTATCTAAATAGAAAGAAGTTAGAGTTAAGTTGGCTGTCATATCTTAAAGATTACATGTATGTCTAACAAGATAGCCTCCTAGTCTTCAGAGATGGAATGGGCCTTGTCATCTTCAGAGCGGTCAGGTAACGATATATTGAACAGCTTCTGCGCGTTGTAGGTGAAACTTACTGCAAATATTAATAAAAGCGAGAAACAAGTGATTAAAATTTGCAATTTCAACCAACAAGTAAGAAATGGACATTGATAATATATTATACTTTCTGTAGTAACTACAACCCTGGTCAAAACTCTTGGGACACTAATGCAATAGCTCATCAAAATGACACATTTTCCCTCCCCTGTCACCTTGGTGCAGTGTTGACGTTATGCATTCAAGTCTTGCTTCAACACAATCAACATTGCTTGGGGTAGAGGGGGACGGTATAAATAGACTCGTATAACATTAAACAACATTCCCAAACTTTTTTAACAGGTAGAATAAAAGTTAATTTAGCAAAGTGGGCCTTCAGGGCCTAATTTCCTCAAGTGTCCCAAGATGTTTTGACAAGGGTTGTAGGCATTTGCAAAGTAAGATTGCTTACCACAAAAGTCATCACAGGCATGTTTTGTCTTGTCCCACCAACAAAAAATTATCCATACAGGGATACCAGCAGCTATGAAGATGAGGGCCATTGTGGACTCCACAGGCTCACCAGCAAAAGGAGTGATCAGGAGATACAGAGATGCTAGCACCATAATTATGGGCACAATCAACCAAACCTGCAGCAGAATAACAATGACATTAGAGAGGCACAACAGTCTTTGCCATTTTCAAAGAGCCCTTGTGTAGGAGACAAATGCAAGCACAGCCCCACAGCTACATGTAAGAAGAATGGCTTCCTTAAATCTTTAAATTCTTAAATCTTTTAAGCCAAAGTAAAAAAATAAAAATCACAAATCATTCCTTTTGATAAAAATTCTGAGAAATTCATGGTACTTTTCAAAAGTAATGCAGAAGTAGTTTTTGGATTATGAAAGCATAAGAAAACATAACTTATTTGGGAAGAAATTTCTGCATGTTCAAACAGGTGTAGATCACTCTTGAAATCACAAACACTGACTGTTAGGGTAAGTAAATAGTATTATTATTCCAATTAACATGAAAAAAAAAACATCTATTTACCCTGTATGGTCTGTTTGCATTAGGTTCTCTCCATCTCAGGTACAGCAGTGCTACAAAGACTGCACAGTATGAGAGCCATGCCGCAAAACTGAAGTAGTTCACAAGCGTACTGAATTTACTGGAGTCTGGAATCAACATGATCATGGCAATGACGTGCTGTAATATAACAAGAAATACAAGTTACAATAGAATTTGACTTTGAAAAACAGAGTGTGTGGTTAAGTACTGTTTAAGAACTGAGCAGGAGTGTATTATCAGGTTTAAAAACTTGAGACGAAGCCGAGAGTTTTTACATCTGATAATCTACATGACTGTGTGTATTTTGAACAGCTTTAAAATCTCTGATATATATAGCTCAACTCATTCTTGCACCAATATTTAGATTTGGGGTTATTTTGGTCTAAAACATTTTGGACATAAAGTCATTTCTTTATCAGATATAAATACACTTAAACATTAACTTCTTTTGTTTTTTTCGTTATGAATTTTTAATGATTTTTTGAAGAAGATTGAATGCAAAGCACTTAAATTAAACAGGGTTAGAAAAGAACCAGTAGGCTGTTCCCCTGGTAACTCGGTTATCAAAAGTTCCCTACTCCCTTTCAAAAAAGTTCCACTTTGGCATAAAAAACCCCGAGCCCCTTACCAAGAAGATGATTGAAGGCATAGGAGTGTTGCGAGTATTGTGAACCATGGCCAGAACTTTTGGCATGTGGCCATTATGAGCTGCTACGTAAACCAACCTGTCAAAAAAATTGCCAAGACTGTGAGACACAAGCTTGGCAAGTACTGACTTCCCAACTTTAGAAGAAATAAGTAAAAGATTGCTGCTACTGTGAAACTTGTATTAAGTGTAGCCAACAATCAGGGTACACCATAAATTTTGAAAAGCAGACGTGAACATCAGATATCCAACCTTTCTGTAAAACAAGCCTGTACTAACCCTCAATCAGTATGAGTGACTGTATCAAGGGACCATCCTGGTTATAAATGGAAGTGGAGGAGACGGAAGGAGTATCAAAACTACCTAGGGGGTGGGGATGGGTTGTTATGAGGCAGGCTAATAGGAAGACTGTGGCCTGATATCCCTGTTGCACTTCAGTGCAGGTTACAAATGGCTGTCTAATCACTAATCTGGTGGCTTTTTCTTGTCTCCCTCCATCCACTGCTATAAACCCGACACACACCCTCTTGGTACAGAAAGCAAGATGGCTGTTCATTGCAGAAAGGGCTTGATCTTGACAATATTCTGGAAAACATAGCAGACTTAAAACAGTCTGAAAAATGTCTCTGTACTACTATGGAGATTACTTATTCAGGATTATTCATTCACTCTGAACGAGTATTTTATAATTCATTGATCTATCATTTTTTTTCCAGTTAGAGATGGATGGATTGCATAAGATGCACAGTTCTAACTTTTGAGTTCAGCCCAGTTCAGAAGTCGTACTTCACATGAGCCGAATGGAATTCAGTGAATTAAGTACATGTGAGGTGTGGCGTCTGGATGAGGCAGGTACAAAAGTCAGACCGGATCAACTCGGACCGCCAGTCCGGGTCGGATCAACTCAGATCGACTCGGACCAACTCGGATCGAATAAAAAACTAAAAATAAAATAAAATTGGACTCGGATCAACTCGGATCATAAAAAAACAACAACTCGGATTATAAAAAGAAAAATAATATTAGTCGGTATCACTTAACTTTCACCCGCCATTTTGTTTTTTCTCACAAACTCGTGGTTGCGTAAATAAATTTTATTTTTATTTTTATTAATTTTAATGGTACACTAGTGAGCAGCACACATGTATATGTTGTGCTTCAATTTTATCCTTGGTTTAAATTTTATTTTCTTTTGTTTTAAACTCATTATCATACATTAACATAGCTAAAAACAAAAGAAAATAAAATTTAAACCAAGGATAAAATTGAACCACAACATATACACTTCCAGTGAACATTTTCAACTCGGAAGGAGGAGAAATCATGCTCGCCCGGGACAATGAAAATTTTCGTACCCCGGGCGAGAATTGAACTCACGACCCTCCGAATACTACATGTTTATTGGACGTTCCAACCACTGAACCGGAGGGTCACGAGTTTGATTCTTGCCAAGGCATGGAAATTTCCTTTGTCCTGGGCGAGCATGGTTTCTCCTCCTTCCAAGTTGAAAATGTTCACCGGAAATGTATGTGTGCTGCTCACTAGTGTATCATTAAAATTAAGTTTCAGAAGTCCTGCAGAAAAAACAAAACAAACAGGAACAAACAAACAAACACTCTTCGGTAACTATCTAAATGGGATCAACAGACCAGGCTTTTGATGTTTTTCTCATAAATAATTCAGTAGTCTAATAAATAAGCAAATATATACATTCTAGGCGACTGAAACTATCATTTCTTTACTGTCGAACCACAATCACAAGTTTATAACATGATCAGAGAGGTGAACTGGCACTAGTAAAACAAAATGGCACCTGAAAGCCACGGAGAAAAAAAGGATGATCTGGCCTTTTTTACCCTCCAAATGGGTTAAATTTTCAGATTTGCTGATTTAATTTAATTTTTTTCATTGCTCCGAGTTGATCCGAGTCCAATTTTATTTTATTTTTATTTTTTTATTCGATCCGAGTTGATCCGGTCCGATTTTTGTACCTGCCTGTCTGGATGTGCTCAAAATGGCCAATAGAGTACCAAAGTGATGACGTCATAAAAATGAAATTTGTGAAATTATGGGATTTGTTAAGATATTCTGAAAGAACAACGTCCAAGACACCTACTCGCCAAAAATTAGCAATTCGGGGGAAATTGTCTCTGAGATATTAGCCCAGTTATGCTGCGACGATTCCATACAAATCCTTCTAAATTTGGCTTGGTTCATAAGATTAGGGACCAGGTAAGATTTAGAAGGATTTGTATGGAGTTATTGGAGCATAACTGGGTTAATATCTCAGAGACAATCTGCCCCAAATTGCTAATTTTTGGCGAGTAGGCGTCTTGGACGTTGTTCTTTCGGAATATCTTAACAATTCCCATAATTTCACAAATTTCATTTTCTATGACGTCACACTTCGGTACTCTATTGAACTTGGATCAGCTGAGCCATTCTTTATGCCTGGTTCAACCGAGAATAGATTCAGCTGGCCCTAAATTCAAATCCGATTCCGCTAAGGTGAAGCACGGTGTCTGAACCTTGGCTTAGAGGACCAAGTTCTTCTGTGTGAACATTCTAAGAAAATTTTTTTTAAAGAGCACTTAAGTATATTGGTATTAGGATTTCTTGATTTGAGTGTAAGGATCAACTTACCTGGCACCACTAAAGGCCAGTCCATTTACACAGCCAAAAGTGGAACATGCGACAAAGATGGGGATCAACCAGCTCACTGGACCAAGCTTCATTTCGCCAACCTCCTGGAAATCAAATTCATGTCTTGTTCAGTCACAATTAACTTGTACATAGTAAGTAAATAAGCTTTTTAAAATGGTCTGTGCCAGACAATAATTTTATCAATTTCTAGAAGCAACTACAAGTACGTATAAATGTACTAGTATTGCTTGGGTTATGTTAAGTGGGTAACATAACCCCCAAGAATGCCTTAAGGGCATTTTTTAGCAAATAAAGGCAACAACAATAACAACTCAAACATTAAAATTGTGAGAAGACAGGAAAAGATCTCCAGAGGTTTTCAAAACGCTTGATTTTAAACAAAAGTACATATTATTTCCTGTCATCAGTACTATAAGAATATAAGTCGAATATTGTGGGCATATTGCACCAGCCTTGTCCTTAGTGCTATGAGGGTGAACAAGAAAGGCCATGGACTTGGTGTGGCAGAACTAGCTAGTCTGTGACAGTGCCAGGTGAATTCTCACGACACCCTTCATGGGTGATGTCAAATGCAAACTTGTGGGGGACTTGCTGCTCTGGAAACAAGGCTGGACATACTGGTATCAGGGCTATAGAAGGGTTATAAATAAATAAACTAAGTTAGCTTACCATGGCAACAGCCCCTGAGTTCAAAATACCTTCTCCTCCAATCACAGCAATATAACCAATGTTTGTCAGAAGGTAAACAATGGTAACAAGAGGAATCCCAATCAACAGTGATCGGGGAAGATCCCTATACAATGTGAAAATACGCGAACATTACTGTCAATTCCTGAACTTTGTTTAGAAACTTAGTGAGTAAGTGAGACCCAGGTTTAAAAAAGCAACTTGCCCCCGATGATGTCCAGCTGGCAATTTTAAGACATGAAACGGCGATTTTATTTGTTTAACAAACCTTTTGCTTGAGTTTTTTTTTAAAACTAATGCTGGAAACTGCCAAATATTGAGTTCCTAAAAACAACTATTCTGTAAAATAACACATTGACCCTAGCTCACGAATCAAGATCATACATAAAGAGAAAAGTAAAAAAGACAAGATTAACATGCTACAAACAAAACAGAGTGTAGAGAAACATTCAAACCAACAGTCTAACAAGTTTCCAGCAGCTGCTGAGCAGCAAGTGAAAAAAATTTGGCTTGGCTGCAGCCACCCTTGTAAATAGCCCAACGCTTCGTAGTCACTAAAACATGGAACGACCTACAACCACCTAAAACCACCTAAAACCATCTACAACCACCTACAACCACCTCAAAAAAATTCAACAACCACCTACAACCATCTACAACCACCTCAAAAACATCTACAACCACTCGCAAACAATCTAAAACCATCTAAAACAAGGTATAAATGTCTCAAATAAGGCGAGACGACAACATGTCACGTACATGAAATACGAGAATCGAACAAAACATCCACTTCCCCCTAAAATCTTACTCTCCCTGGTCCCTTGTATCATCAACCATTGGCTTAAGTCACGAAATGAAATGCGAGATCACGCTAAGTATAAAAAAGACTTAAAGAACTTTACAAAATGAACTATCAAGTCACAAAAAATAATAAAATAAAATAACAAACACGTAGACGAAAGACTGACTTGATTTGGCTTTTTCTACCCTGGGTACCAGTGAGACATTTGATTTCGCACCACATGTAATCCCCGGGGGGGTACTCCCATACATTACCTACACGGGTATGTGCTGCCCAAAGGGGTCGTGATTTTGAAGCTCCTGATTTAGAACGGGGTATCCATTTCAGAGGCGTTTTTTAGAACGGGGTATAATATTTCGAACGCACGAAAGCTCCACTTTTGTAAGCAGCCATTTGAAATTATTCAAGGACAGATTGCTTTTAAAAATACGTTTCAATGCGTTAACAAGCAAACCGTTGTACTCTTGATGCACCTTAGAACGGAGTGTAAAAAATTGGCCCATTTCTAGAACGGGGTATCAGTTTTAGGGAGAATTCTAGAACGGGGTATAAAAAATTGGCCCATTTCTGGAACGGGGTATCAATTTAAGGGGAAATTTTTTCTAGAACGGGGTGCCAATTTGGAGTCCTGGACGGCACATACCCACCCAAAAAATACCCAAGTGCCCCCCCCGGGATGTAATCACTGGTTATGTGACATTTGAAACATGATTTTAAAACAATTAAAAATCACAAACCATCAGTTGTTGCTTAAATTATAATCAAATTGTCGATGAGTTTCACAAGAGAGAGGAAGCAAAATCAAACTTATATCCCAGCCCTCCCAACATAAGAGGACAGTGCGGTGGAAGTTTTGTGTTAAGCTTAATGGTTGATGATACAAGGGACCAGCCCGGGGGGACCAGGGAGAGTAAGATTTTGGGGGGAAGTGGATGTTTTGTTCGATTCTCGTATTTCATGTACGTGACATGTTGTCGTCTCGCCTTATTTGAGACATTTATTCCTTGTTTTAGATGGTTTTAGATTGTTTGCGAGTGGTTGTAGATGTTTTTGAGGTGGTTTTAGATGGTTGTAGGTGGTTGTAGGTGGTTGTAGATGGTTTTAGGTGGTTTTAGGTGGTTGTAGGTGGTTGTAGGTGGTTGTAGGTCGTTCCATGTTTTAGTGACTACGCCCAACGCTTTGTCTACTACCAGTTGGGATTCTTAACCTTCATATGTTTATTTCAATAATTATTTGTATCTGCCCTTATCTGTGGGCCACAATGTAAACTACTGGGTTACCAGTAATTGTGTTACCCCTACAAGTTAATTTTTATAATATAAGGCAGCATTATTGTTTGTTATGAAGTGATTCAGTCAGCAGCATTAAAAAAGGGCAAGAATTTTAAGTGTACAAGCTGACTTATAGATCAACATAACAAAGACAAATTTAACAACATACTTGCCATCTTGTATCCTGAAAAAACGCTTAAATTAAGGGTTATTTAACCTTTCCACATAACTGGAAAAAAGTGGCCTGATCCAAAATAGCTTACAAAAATCACCAGCCGCCCTACGGATTTTATTTTGAATCCTGACACCCTTTAATACCTTTTTTATAAATTATCATGTAATAAATTATAACTTTTCCACATTCTATCATCAAATTTTTATCTCTCACCTTTCTGGATTTTTCATCTCTTCAGTTACAAAATTTAAGCTATTCCTGGAAATGAAGGTTGAAGAAAGTCCGTTAATCTGGTATTCAACTTTACTGACAAACTAAGAAGGCCATGATGACCCGTACATTGATTGGTAGAGACGACTTGTAACAAAACATCAGGATACATTAAAAGCAGACCAAAAAACTACAACCCAATCACCAAGCTCCAAATTAACTTGCTAGTTCATTGGATACAGCGCTGCACCAGTATCACAGCGGTAAGGGTTTGAATACCAGGAAGCCTGAATCTTTTCAGGCTTTCTTTAAATATGGACCACAACTGCGTAAGTTGCATCTTTACTTGCAATGATCTTCTTTGTATCTATTCCTAATTATTGCTCAGTGTTGCTAACATCGTTAAGCTTTATCAAGCCTGATTGTTTGTTGTTAACCAGTCACTGGCCAGCAAGTAATGCATTTTTGCAGATGACACACTTATTACAGTCCTTCTTAAGTTGTTTTTGTTCAATGTTTCTGTTATCAGACTTATCTACAGCCTACGTAAGTTGTCAGAAACATTAGAGATTACTTGATTACTGTAATGTTATTGTTTTAACTTCAATGTTTTGCTTAAATTATGACTGTGTACTGATAATATCATTATATCGAAGATCGTTATATTGGGGTCCTGTCCAATACAATTTACTGTAACTTTTGTTACAGGAAATTCATTCATCCTTATACGAGAAACTTCCTTATAATAAGGATTGTTATATCACGATTCCACTGTACATTGTGAACAAGAGATTTATGTAGGTTTTAACTTAGAGATTTTGGAGGTCCTTCAACAACTTTCATAGAGCACACACAGCCTTTAAGAACTATAACCATTCTAAATCAAGACAATTCAAATAGGGGTCTGAAGTAGTGAAATAAATACCACACCACTTTTTTTTAATTGATGTACTAGGCAGCCTTGGGCAACGTACCATCCATCATAGGCCCAAAGCCCAGAGTAAAATGCCAAACCAATATTTGCCAAGTCTGACGTAGTACCTTTAAATGCTCCGCTAAAATTCTGAACATTACCTGAAAGGTATGGAAGATGTCTTAATATCTCAACAAAAATGTCTTTTCTGTTCTTATGTACAGGTGAGTGTGAATTAGAGATGCTTATTTGTTGGTGCTACCTCTCACTCAAACACATTAATTTTTGTTGCTTGTAGTAGTTTCAATGTCAATTATTTTTAATTTTTCTTTTCATTTTGTCTGTCAATACTGTGAAACTCAAAAAACTGAGAACACCAGAAATGTTTCTGGAATGTTATTGTGTCACAAGGGAAGAGCCAATCAGGCAAAAGAAAACTAAGCTGTGAGCAACAACAGTAATAATATTAGTTATGTGTTTTTGGTGGCTTGCTTCCATGTCCTGATTTTTTCTTTTGTGGGACTGGTCACAACACAAAAGCATTCCCACAGTAATTCAGGTGTTTAAGGTTTGTGTTTGACAATATAATAATAATAATAATAATAATAATAATAATAATAATAATAATAATAATAATAATAATAATAATAATAATAATAATAATAATAATAATAATAATAATAATAATCACATATTTTATTTATAACATACTAACTATTAAAATCCTATTTACAATTAATTCACTTTAAAAAACTATTTCGTCAAAACACTATTTACAATTCCCGCTTTCGTTAAAAAAACAGTTTTGATTAGAAAAAAAAATCATTTCATTAAATAAAAATCATTCAAATTAAAAATATTTCATTTCAATTAAAACAATTCATTTTGAATGAAAAAAGAATAATAATAATAATAATAATAATATTATTATTATTCAGGTGTCAAACTTGCACTTGTTTCTGCTTACCTGATCCAACTTCAATAAGACCGATCACAATCAGGATCACAAGTGCGATCAGTTTTCCGAAAGTAAAGGTGTCCTGGATGCGTGTTGCCCATTTCACACTCCCACAATTTATAAACATGGTCAGTGCTGAAAAAAAGAGTAAGTTCATGAAATTGGAAGTTCATTTCTTTTTGCTTTAACATACTGTGGTCACCCTCTATTACGCACCAAGTAACCAAAGTCCCAAAATAATAGTTACAACAATAGAGGTTTAATTTACAATTCTTTTCTACAATTATAGAGTGTGATGTCACGTGATGTCAAGCTCTCCATATTGGTGTCCCAACCTAATCCTGTGGTCATTAAGCCTGTAAGTGAAGAGGCGCTATAAAGTAGCCACCTCTTTTAAGCTGCCACAGCCACCTTTTAGCCATCCCTGATGAGGTTTCTCCTACTGTTGTTACCTCTATTACCGGTAAGTTACTGTTTCACCCACACAACCTACACTCTCACTTGCTAACTCCCCAACATTATTCAAAACCAAAATGGAAGCCAAACACTTAACAATCTCGTATGACTTTCCATCTATTTCTTTTAAGGGTGGATAGTGAAAAATATCTCACAGTGGTGGCAAATAATGGGTAAAAGAGGGGGCATTAGGAGGTACCCAATACAGCAAGGAAAAATTGACAAATACCGAAATACCGTGTCAAAATTCATTGAAATACCAATACCGCATGTACAATCGGTCACGCATACTTAAAGTTGTAGCCATCTCGTGTGTTTTTTTATCTCAAGCATGTGTGTATCAGCAATCAACTCAATTGTACAACAATCGAAAAGCCTCGTCACTGGGTTCCCTACCATTCATTGTAGATAAACAATCAAACATTGAGTAATCATTTACCATGAAGTTTAAAGTCTTTAAAATATCTACTTTTATTAACCTGTATAGCTTACTAGGTTGTGTGTTGAAAATGGCATTGACCTGGGGGGGTAGACAGGAGAGTGCAAATAAATGGTACTGCAATACCGTGATCTTCTTTTAGCAAATACCGTTAGCCAAAAGGATGAAAAAACCATACTGCTGGACTAGATGATAGTGCAATACTGCACATTAAAATCAAAATTATCACAATACTGCTTGAAAAAAGCTCAATACTGCAATACTGTAAACCTCCATGTACCCCTCATGAAAGTTTGTTCGTATAGCTGGCTTTGTAATACACAATTTGCCCTAAAAATTTCACCGTGGCTATATGGCCGGTAACCAGTGAAGGTTTTCAAAACACCAAATGACCGGCAGTCTTATATTCTCAGTACATTTCACAAAATCGAAAAATCCCAGCTAATCTAAATTATCATATGTCAATTAAGAAAAGTGAAGCAATCCTGAAATACTTTATAGCTCTCAAGTGTTGTGTTTGGTTTACGCTGGGCTCAGAAGACGAAACCACATTTTGTGACACATAAATTTTTTCAGCTTGACTGCCGGTCAAGGTTTTCAAAACACTAAATGACCGGCAGTCCTATATTCCCCGTAAATTTCACAAAATCGAAAAATCCTAGCTAATCTAAACTGTCACATGTTAATAAAGAAAAGTCAGTCTAGCGTTTGGTTTATGCTGGGCTCAGAAAACGAAACCATGTGTTGTGACACTTAGAACTTTTTTCAGCTCAACTGCCGGTCAAGGTGTTGAAAACACTAAATGACCGGCCGTCCCATATTCTCAGTACATTTCACTTGACTGTTTCGCTTGATAGTTTGGTTTAGCTGGATTATTTCTATCTGTGAAATTTACGGAGAATATAGGACTGCCGGTCATTTAGTGTTTTTTTAACATCTTGACCGGCAGTCAAGCTGAAAAAAGTTCTAAGTGTCACAAAACATGGTTTTCTCTTCTGAGCCCAGCGTGAGCCAACGAAACGTTATTCTTGAGATCTATAAAGCATTTCAGGATTGCTTGACTTTTCTTAATCGACATATGATAGTTTGGTTTAGCTGGATTTGTTCGATTTGTGACATTTACTGAAAAGACAAGACTACCGGTCATTTAGTGTTTTGAAAACCTTGACCGGTCACCGGCCATATAGCCACAGCGTAAAAATTTTTCCCTGGGAGGAAAAAAGAAGTGCTTTGTGGGAATCTTTTTCTGTTTACATCGCCTTTAAGCATGCACATACTCATACTACCAAAAAAATGGAAAAAACAAACTAACTGCAGCCGAAAATTAAAAAATCTTTCCACTTATTGGGCATCCTCAACTTTCGTGCCGTGAATAATCGCCCACACAAAGGGTGGATTCATTTTACAACTAAAGTGAACAGCCGTTGCATTTTCCCATTGAAATTTTCTGTTATTGTTAATTCACTACTCAACAATAAAAAGAATTAAAAGGCAAATTCCAAGACTATATTAGTTAAATCCACCCAGAGTTCTAGAACTACCTCCCGGGAGATAACGACCATGTCGGTATATTTTCTTGAAAACTATCTGAATAAGTCCCGTGACCTCTGGTATGCAAATTGCACTTAGCACACGTTTTTCTGCTTTCTGATGCAATACCGGACAAAAACAAAGTTGTCGCGAAATGGACATAGACACGCGGTAGCTAAGTGAGAAAATTTGGAAAATAAAACGAAACGACTTTATTGCATTGCGTGAGCACATGTATACTAACCAAGCCTCCAGGCAGGAATGTCAACTTTGTCTCGTGACTTTTCAACGCGAACCACAACCTGAAGGGATTGGGTTTGTAAACAGACCATGCGGTTCACCCGATTTAGCGAAAAACTATCAGCCGAAGCATACGATTTCACCAAGGGAAAGATTAATTATTAAAACTTACCGAGGCACGCCGCTGCCAAAATCTTTCTAACTGGAATCGGGCTGATTTCGCAGTCTGGAAAGAAAGGCTGACTCACATAGCGTGCAAAAGTAAGAGCAACGGCGCTGAGTGAAGCCGGGCGAAGGATCAAAGCCAGAGTCCAGCTGTAAAGGAAAGCTGGAAGAGGACCGAAGGCTTTCTTGAGGTACGAATATTCAGCGCCGGACTTCGGGATCATCGTACCCATTTCACAATAGCATAGGGATCCTAGAAGCGCGAGGAAACCACAACCAGCCCAAATGACCAAACTCATTCCTACTGAACCGGTACGCTTGAGGACGCCAGTCGGAGAGATGAAAATACCGGAGCCGATAATGACTCCGACGACGAGTGCGATGCCATTTATAAGAGAAACTTCTTTCTTCAGACCAACTCTGTTGTCTTCAATGGCCACTTGCGGGGCATCGCCATTTTTTTCCTCGGCGGTCAATGGCTGTACAGCAGCGGCTTCTTCTTCCTTCGAGGCCATTTTAAGCTAATTAATGGTTTCTACCAAAAATTTGCCGTCGGAATGCCTCTTCTGTGGATAAAATTAAATCGTTATTTAGGACGGTCAAAGAGTTTCTTCTTTAACTTAAGGTTTCCACGTGTCGTGTGTGACACCCAAACAAAAGACTGAAACAAAGCTAAGCTGCACTGAAAGAAACCCTCTTTCAGCTTTTAGCATTTGAGAATAAGCGGCGAGATACATATTTCCCATTTTAACTAAAATATCAATCATCACACTTACTTTTCTAGGAAATATGAGAACTCGCGCGCTTTCCTCCCAAGATTCGTCAAAAGCCTTCGACAGAAACACTGCGAGTGGAAGGCTCTTTGAAGCGCGGGAAAACCTGTAGGTTTAAATATTCATCTACGAGGGTATGATATCTTGAATGTGATTGGTTGAAACGATGCCCTTTGAGCCACATGATAAAATGTAAACAAAGCACGCATGAAGTACACGTGAACTACCTGCCTGGAGACGAGATGATGAAAAACCTATCAGGATCGGAAGTGGGTTGTAAAGGAAGTCGAGAAAAAAATTTTCATAAAAACATTATCAACAAATTTTTTACCAGTCATTCTAGACGACAATCCGTCGAAAAGATTTTCGCAAATTTATTTTCCACTAATTTTTGCCACAGACATTTCGTCATACCACTAAAGCAACTTTACTAGCTGGAAAAAATCCAACTGGGGATTTCTTGCTGGTGATGAGACTTACGCCGACTAGACGATTGTTTTGATACACTACATAGAGGGTTATCATTTGTCAAAGGAAGGAGTGGATTTATTCCAAGAAACTAATAACAAACAGTTTTTTTTCAGGAGACAATGTTATTTTGTACGTTATTTTTCAGCTGTTTATCCGCCTCGGATCCGCCTTTAGTACAATGTCGCCTGCCAAAATATTTGCCAAAAACCAGTGTTTTCGGTTTCCTATTTAGAGGAAACAAAAAAGACGTACAAAGTATTTAAAATGATACTGTATTATGCAAAATAGAAAGTAAAAAGGAATGAAAAAAGGGAAAATTATGTGTCAAAGTCAGCTATTCCTTTTATTTAGTAGAGGTTACTTCTTGTGCGGCTTTCACGCTGATTGAGAACAGTGTTCCGTAAAATTAAAATATAAAGATCTATTTTGAGTGCCTGAGTTAGAAATGTCAAAGCAAGATTATCCGATCAAAACAAGATAAGCTGATTTTCAATGAGTGCCAAATATTCGCTTAGTTTTTGGTTCTCCGCGCAGTTTTCGAATTTCAAGTGGATTCTTATCGTCAACTCAGAACTGAGCCTTGTCTTTAATCTAACCCATGGCCCAGAGAGATAGCAAAAAATTCAATGAATTACAATCATCTGCATTTGATCACGAAAGGGCCATGATATGCTTTAATCTCGATGGGGCGTAGGTACGATAAAAAGAAGAAGCTTGAGATCCAGTACAACACCTTGTCAATCTTTGTAAAGTAATGACTAGTTATTTTTACCTGTTTAACAAGGTGTGGGGCACAGTCAGGTCAACCTAACCGCACCCTTACCCACCCATGTTTGACAGGGGTAGGCTCTTAGCACCTGCACTTTTAACAGCTTGTTTGCTAGGGTATGCTCATACGATTTTTATAATTTTTTTGTGAGCATAAACTCGATCAATAAATTTCTGTTGTCACTCAACAGTCAGGGGCGTTAGCTATCTATGCGTCAATACACACGCGCGTACCTTAAAAAATGTAAAAGAAACATAAAAAGCAAAAGCAAAATAAACATGTCATAAGGACTGAAGAAGGGGAATAAGGGATAGCTGTGAAACGAAGAAATTGCCTATGAACTCCTCTTTCTGACTTAATTCAAATATTTTTCCAAAACAAAAGGTGGTGTTTTTTTCCCGAATTTATCAAACGCGAAAGATGTAGCTCCTGCCTGAACAACACGGACCGACTGATTCACTGCTTTGACAAAACAAGAAAATTTTAATGAAGTCACCGACGTAACAACGATTAAAGAGATGACGGAGAAAGGTTGATCAACCGTGCGTACTTCTGGAAAAGTTCTCGGCCGCGCCCCTGAAGGGGATTACTTTTGAAGATGTATTTTGAGACATACGAAACGTTAGGTCAAAGTTTTATTCCTTTCAAGAAATGTGTCTTAGTTCCTTATGTTGCTTGTTACTTCTTTTCAATCTAAAATGGCCAATGACAAGAGTATCTGAGAGCTGCTTGATTTTTTTGAAGGCTATTTTTCGGTATGGGACTGTTCGTGATGTAGTTCTGACCTTCCGGCAACAAGCCACGATTGTTAACTATGATGGAATATTTTTAAAACACTATTAGACTCTCTTCCGGGAAAGATGCACACGACGGTAGAGTAAACATGACTTTGAATGGAAGGAATTTCAATGGAGTGCTTTTCTCAGTAAGTGCACTCCCATAAAAACTGAAAGACCCTGAAAGGATGTTTGAAACTGTATCTCCGTAACCATTTGAGAGAGATTTGTCCACTATATCTGAAGACCAAGAGAGACTGCTCGCAGTCTGAGTGATATGAGTAAAAATCAAGTTTTAAGCAAAAGTAAATGTATCATTATTCAAAACATAAAAAAGGGAAGAAACATTGTGTCACCCACGAATCTTAGCCTGCGAGCAAGCTCTCCACAGTTATTGAACCATTCCATTACGAGCGCTGCGAGTGGAATACTGATAACGTCATATGCAGTTTGTACGCGTTTGCGGCTGAAAGATGCCAGTGCAAGATGAAACAAGATGCGTCAAAAACAGCAACATTGAGAAACGCCTCAGTTTATTCAATAATTCAAATACCGTGAATCAGCCGAACCTTAACGCCACACTTCACATGAGCCGAACTCAATTTTAAAATTTAGTTGCCCGCGCTTAAGAAAAAAAGAGAAGCTGTTTGAAGCTACAATAGTATCTCGCATTCTAAACTGACTAGTTATACTTTGTTCTTGTTTCATGCTGTGTAAGGTGTATCTCACATTGGCACACAGTGTAGACTACGAGTAGTCCCCCATTTTTCCTCAGGGATAGTAGAGCGAGCAAAACGCGTAGAGCGGGCAAAACGCGAGCGCGCGTGAAAATCAACCCACGCGAGAAAAGGCGACACGCGGCGGGGAGAGAGAAAATTTTTCTCTCTCCCGCCGCGTGTCGCCCTTTTCTCGCGTGGGTTGATTTTCACGCGCGCTCGCGTTTTGCCCGCTCTACTATACTATCCCTGAGGAAAAATGGGGGACCACTCGTAGTCTACACACAGTGTGGGTCATCAGACTATCTTGCCATATATTGTAGCAGCCTTTGTCCTTTAAAATATTTAATATTTTCTTTTTCAAAGTTCATGCAAAGTATCTAGCTCTTAATGTATCGCTTACATGGTACGCATACGTGTTCTTTGACTAGGAATAGTCGCCCGATGATTTTTTTCAGTTGAGGGAGTGAAAAAAAAAAAAAAATGACATGAAAAAATAAAAAAAGAATCAGAATTAAAGGTCATAGCGTGAGAGGTGATCGCGTTTCAGCGTCGAAGTCAAAAGTAAAAGTAGAGTTCATTTACCCGCCTTCACTCTCTTACACATTTAATTAAAAAGCTAAAACAATAATTTCAAAAGCTTTCAGCTGTGACTCGCCATTACCTGAGCACCTTTGTCAATTTGATTAAAACGCCCATTTTTACCAGTAGTCATGGCTTTCAGGGGAGAGGTTCATTGGGGAAAAAAGCCTTGCTTGAGGTGCCAAAGGTTTACAGCTTTATTTCCATTGCGTGTCAAGATGCCAAAATTAAGAATCTACGGAGGTCAATACGAGTTGATTGTCAATTTAATTTTGACTGTATCATTGGTCAATCTATTATTCATCGACTTCAAAATGGGTCACGTTCTTCCGCATGCAATGGTCATTATCATAAAAAGCACGAGAAGAAAAGCCGGACTTTGCCCTTCAGTGTATTTCTAACAGTAAAAATACGCAATACGCTCGCCCATCTTTCTATTTGCCCGCGCGTAACTTAGCTGAGATTGTCTCTCTTAAAACTTTAAAAAGTACTAGGGAAGAATATAATACATAAGTATGCACGAACAATGTACTATCGTGCAATTTAAATTGGCGAAATACGGCAGGGAATTTTTTTTGCTTTCTTTGTTTTGACCACTAAATTATTCATTAAGTAGTTTTTCTTTGCTGATTCAAAATATTATGCTTTTTCCTGCCTGCTTCTATTTTTTTTTTGAATTGAAAGGGCCTCCTTTTTTACTGCAAAAATCCTATCTCGGCCATCTCCAATAAATGTTGATTTAGTCAGTGAATTAAGTTCTTCCAATTCAGGGTAAATGTTATTAGTATGAAAAACATACCTAGAACAGAGAGGTAAAATTTTTTGCTTTTATTTTTATAGCCTAGATCTGCGGATGGCAATCGTTGTCATCGTTGATCTAGGGAAGCTTTCATGATTCAGTCGTAGACGATGGTTGTGACCTAACAAAATTTGCGGCTCTCGAAATAAAATAGGAGGATACGGATTCTTTGGTCGTCAGAGACTACATTTGCACTTGAAACCTTAAAGCAGCTTTGGTGAGGAGGGGAAAAAAAAGAAAGACAAGCACCGGATTGAAAACAATGATCGTGTAACAGAGGCAGTACTCAGGGCGAAGTGTTAAAATATCCATGTAAACGTGACTTTCTTACCTTTAAACTATGCCTGAACTGAAATAAACTGTCCAGTTATTGCCTCCGAAGTGGAAAAAAATCTAACGCCCTAGCTTGTCAACCTTTGAAATCCGGTGAACTGCCCGTGTCCTCACGTGAGCCACCAATCCGTTGTTTGAGAGAGAATCTCAAATAACTAATGGTTTTATTTCCGCGCTCTCTCCCCAGTCTCCCCAGGTCTTGCCCTGTAGTTAAACTTGCGAAATAGGGCGATAAAGCCCCGTACAAACGGACGCAACGTTGGCCAACAACTCCCAACATTGTTGGATGTAACACGTAGCATGTGCGTTGATGCGTGTTGTTGGGAGTTGTTAGGCTGCGTGCAAACGGACGCAACATTTTTGACCAACAACTCCCAACATTGTTGAATGTTACATGTTACGTCCGTTTGCACATCCTGTTGCATGTTGTTGCGCAAAGTTTGAAACCGGTCAAACTTTTAGCCCCGTGCAAACGGACGTAACATTGTTGGCTTACAACTCCCAACATTGTTGGGAGTTGTTGCGCCCGTTTGCACGTAGCCTTACGCTAAGTTTGAAGCCGATCAAACTTTTAGCTACGTCAGGAGCCGATTAGTGTACGTGCAAACGGACGCAAAATAACGCAACACGTCTTGTCTCGCACAGTTATTACTGCAAAATGGAAAAAGAAATTTCAATTTTAGAGGTGAAAATTTTTCCGGGTAATACTCCCTCAAGCGCCTTGTAAACGGAAGCAACATTGTTGGCCAACAACCCGCAACATTTGTTTTGTTCAGTGATCGCCGAAGCGTAGCGCAGCATTGTTGGATCCGTTTGTACAGCTCTTTCAACATTGTTGGGGCCGCTTATGCTCATTAAACACGGTCTCCAAAATCTTATGGGTTGTATCCTTCCCACGATGCACTGCAGGTCCCAACATTGTTGGGAGTTGTTACATCCCTTGGCACCCCACTTTCAACACGGACGCAACAATTTCCAACATTGTTGGCCCAACAATGTTGGGAGTTGTTGCGTCCGTTTGTTGCACGTACCGTAGCTTAAGCGCAACCACGAGTCACGTTCAACCTCAGATCAGCCTCGTTCTTAGTCGCTCTCTTCAGCACTTTTGGCGCGAGAGGCGAGGCTTCCACACGGTGTAAATACGAGGCAAAATAAGCAATTTCAGCTGTCGCCTTGAAGATGTCCGCACTGAATCATTCAGCAAAAGAGTGGTTAAAGTTTTAGATCAGAAAACTATAAAAGCAATTTAAATCTAGGATTTTTAATGTGTAAAAACATAAAATGGCTCAGCTGAGCCCGAAAGCGTGTCAGAATGTTCGAAAACATAACTCCGTACCGTACAAAGGCAATACAATAATTGCGCCAGAAACGTGCAGCAAGTTTCGAAAGGAAAGCTTGCCTACGTACATGACATTATCGTTACGTACGTATTTTTATTCTCTTGGTAATACGTCAAGAATAATGTTCTTATTAATGAGATATCTTTGTCTCCAACGACAATGCAATAATTGAACTATTTTAAAAAATTTGGACATCTTTTGAAACAAAAGGGCTAAGTGGTTTTAAATCCTATGGGAAGTTCTTTCATTGTCCATAAATCTTAGCAACGGTAAATCTATCCGAAGCCGTCAATATCGCAAAGCAGTTGCGTCATGATTGTTAAGCCTGTTTTCCATACGATCGCTAAAAAGAGTCACCAGCGATCTAAACAATCGTGGGTGTTTATGTGGAAACCAGCCTAAAACAAGAACAGAGGTCTATCCCAACACAATACGCAACACGCTAAGATCTGGTTTCGATCGTTGAAGACGGTTGTTTCCAGAATATCCATGCAGTCGCTGAACTTTTTTTGCAACGATCCTAGCGGTCACAATAAAACCAGGCTTTACTGTGCTAAAAGAGCCGGCTGAAGTGCATATCCTCCCAAAGCCGAACTATAAAGACGGAATCCACCAGGACACTGAGTAATTTTGATATTCAGTGGACAAAAAATCTTGTGCCAGAATGATTTAAAGCATATTGCATCCTTTTTTACATTTTTTTAAGGGCTAAAGATGTAATAAATCATCTGCAGTAACACCAAAAAAAATTTCTTATGGGAGCACGAGAAAATGAATGTCAAATTTCACAAAATTACACTTACACTAGCCTCCCCGCAGACGTCCTTTGGGGTTCGTTTGTCACGCATTCATAGAAATGAATGCGTGACAAACGAACCCCAAAGGACGTCTGCGGGGAGGCTACACTTACACATGAAATTTTCAGAATTTTACCTGTGTAATCACAATTCTTGTGAAATTTGATATTTATTTTCTCGGACTTCCATGAGAAATTTTCTTTGGTGTTCCTACAGATGATTTATTAAATCTTTAGCCCTTGAAAAATGTAAAAAAGAATGCATTATTCTTTAAATTATTTCTGGTACAAGGTTTTTGTCCACTGAAAATTGAAATTACTCAATTTCCTGTTGGATTCCGTCTTAAAACTTATTTGACAAAAGACTCCGACTTTCATCAGATAGGATTGGACTCCTCAGTGACCTCATTCATACGATAATCGAGGCCGTTAACATCCTTACCCCTTTACCGCAAAACATTTAGAACAGACAAACATCTGACCCATGCGTCCGGTACATACCGAGATGGAAAAAGCAAAAGAACAAACGTGTCAATAACATTAGCAAAGTATAAGTGAAAGTATAGCTTTGTTTTGACTGAACTGTTGGCCTTGAGACACCGGCCTAGAGCACAATGTTTGTACTCGGCCACAAGATCTCGCAAAATCATCGATCGGCATCAGCTACTTTGCTGCCAAAGTTTTCAAGAAGTCATTAACGCGATCTTGCAGAGCTTCCACTGTCCCTGAATGTCGTCTATAAGCATTAGGTGATGCTGGAACAGGATTTAAGGTCGCGTGAGGGTCTTGCATGGCCTTTCGTAAAGGAGAATTCGGTGCTAAGGTGTTCAATTCAACTTGAGAGAGTTCAGATCCTCGGCGGACCGCTAGATTAGTTGGCAAGCCGGGCCTTGATCCCCTTCGTCGCATCAAGTCGTATTCCCCTGGAACTCCAATGGCCTCTAACTGTGATTCTCCAGACGTACTTTCTACCGAGAGCGAAGATAAAGACCTTGCAGGTGACACTGGTCGATTCGCTCTCAAAGGACTCAAAGACCTCCGTAACGAAGGTGACTGCGGTCTCTTCAAGTCAGGCAACATAGGCTCTGAAGCTGAATCCTTGTTTTGCGACTGTGCGGACAGCGGACGAAGGGTCGCCGCCATGCCAGAGCCCCTTCTTCCGAGCAATGGCGAGAGAGGTTGCTTGAGTCGAGGTGACATGGGAGCTTGTCCAGAAATCTTGTCCCTCAAGAGAGCTTCGTTCGTTTCGAGCGACAATGAAATTTTAGCGTTGGCAGAGGATCCTCTCCTGCGCTGCAGGATAGGAGAGTTGGAGGGAGAGGTAGAAACAGCAGAAGACCCCCTTCGCCGAAGGGAAGGAGAGGTTGGGTACCCGTCTGTTTTTCCCTGTTCTCCTTTTAGCTGTAACAATTCAATCGCCGCCGATCCGCGTCTTCTTGAGTTCAACGATGCTGATAATGTCTCATTTCTCTCTTCTTCTCCGTCAGCCGCCGCCGACGCATCATGCGTCGACCCTCGTCTCTTAATTTCCGCCGAACTTTTTGCCAACTGAATCAAAAGCTTCGGTGACAGGTCTGTTATCTCGGGTGCTGTCCGACGACGTTGCCCGCCGCGCTCACTTTGCGCGAACACTTTCAGCAATTTTTGAGACTCTGCTTCACTGATAGCAGGATCTTCTGAAGGTGGGGAACCAACAGGAGAGGCGCATAGGGAAGACGTCTCAGGCTCATCCACAACTGGCGAACCGCTTCTCTCTGAGTGCAGACCGGTATCAGCTTGCTGACTTTCACTGCTGATCAAAATTGCTGGATTGGTGCCGTCATTGTTATGTGACTCACCGCTATCACCAGACGATTCAGTTTCCTTTGATTCTTCCTGTCTGGTCTCCGGAGGTATTAAGCTACCCCTTCTCGAGCCACAAGGTGAAAGTAATAGCCTCCCTTGGCCCAAACTTAGGTTCAAAGGGTCTTCCGAAAGCTGCTCTTCGATTTCTTGAGTGTTCCGTTTTCGTCGGAAATCGTACTTAACGTCTAAAGACGTTTCACATATTTTTACCATAGACTTGCGTTCTAAGTCTTTGAGGGCTTTCATCTTTTTCTCAAGTTCTTTTTCAGCTAATTTTTCGTTCTTTAGCATCGTGGTTATCATACGATTGCCAAGTTTTGACATGCTCTTGTCTCTAGCTTTACCCTTAGCCGACATTTTGTCTAGAGCCACTTATTTCTTGCTACAATGCACTCAAAACACCAGCTGAAGATTTTTCAATAAGGGATTCCAAAATTCAGCATCAAACTGACTGTACTTTGAAAGACGAAAAGTCAATACCAATTTCAGGACTGAAGCGCACGAGTCTTGCTATTACCGGAATCAAGAATCATGAACTGAAGAACTGTTTGTCTGTTGAATAGTTTTGGAGGTTTTGGACATTTGCACACTTTTGTACTTTGGTTTATTGTTCTGCATGCAAATCGTTGTCGACTTTAGGATGGTACATGTTTGAAAATAGCTTAGGTACACAATAACTGTAATCTTGATTGGAGCACTTGGACACTAAGTAATTGTTCTGTTTGTTTGGTTTCCAGGATTTGTAAACAATTGCCTTGAGTAATTAAAGTGCTACTTTGACGCTAAAGAACTTATTTTACTAGTGTTGATTGGCACGAAAAGGATTTGAACATTTAGCACAAATCCAAATCGAACTACGTTTCTTTCTAGCAAAAATTGTAAGAGGCTAAAAAGAATATCGCTTGGCAACCTACTTCCTTGAAGTCGCCGTCCATCTTCCAAAAAAGAAGACAAATAATTGCTACGGCTTTGTGGCGATCGTGGAAACGATGCGTGTGGTTGTATCAGCTTCTTGCTAGTACAAGACTCATTAAAGCTTTTTCTGAAGCTATATGAATAAAAATTCAATTAAACGTTAGAGCCCGTAAAACTCAGCTGATATTAAAAAAATTGACGACCACTTCAAAGGTTTTGTGTCCCTTTGTTTAGCATTTCGAATCCTGGGCCCCGTTGGGAATAAAGCTCTTATGTTGTTGATGGCGAGAAATAATTTTGAATGGAGGTCAGATTGAATGCTCCTAAAACTGAAGGAAATCATAAAATACGTTGAAGCACGTTTACTGGTTACATATAAAGTTTCTGTAGTTTGACAAATCAATTAACAACATGATTAACGCTACAAACAGTATGAGAGTTTAACTCAGTGGCGTGACGGTAGGGGAGGGGAGGGGAGGGAAGCTCAAAGACTTGGTATTATCAACCCAGTTGATAAGGCTTAGTGGTAGCCAGTGTACAGACCCCTCCGATTTTTACTGAGGGGAGGGGAGGTCCGTACACAGGCTGGCTTAGTGGCCACCCAAATTAGTTTTTTAGCAGCATGAACTAAATAAAGCTGCGAGACAACGAGGCAGGTAAAAGGATATCAGAGCAACTCGAAACAAACAGAGTACCTCAACATTAGAGCGGTTTTCATTTGAGTGTCGAAAAGTAATTGGTTTTGCACTTTCTACACGATGCGATTGGCTTAAAAGATTCGCGCCACCTTTTCATCCAATCAGAAGTAAAACCAAAGCCAATTGTGACATTGCGTCAGCCACATGTAATTACTTCGAGTTTTGATTGGTTCAATGTATTGTCTGTGTCCTATGTGATTGGCCAGAGTAATTACTTTGGTTTTGGTTTTACGACACTCAAACGAAAACCACTCTAACACGGGAAACTTGGAAAAAAAATCCTAGTTCTCCCATCAGGAGTCAAACTTATGACTTTCTGGATACTAGTAGTTGCTCTACCCCTAGGCTGTAGGTAGCCTGTTCAGATAGGCGTTCAGATAGTGGGGAGTGACACAAAATGGAGAGCGGTGAAGAAAAAAGGTGGAAAAAGAAGGAGGGAGAGAGAGGAGAGTTTCTTCACTCTCTCTCCCTATCCTCACTCCCTCGATGTTGTTTCCCGTTCACTTCTCTTCATCTTTGCGCCGTCCCTTACCGTCTCGGTTAATGCGTTTCGATGACGTATCTGAGACTACTCGCTCGGACCACGTGACCCGAAACGCATAGGCCGCGCTAAGCCGTTCTCATTATCTAAGGCCTGGAACAGGAGGAGATTCGTTGAAGCTATAAAGTCTTTAACTGGGTCCGTCAAGAGAGAATAATCTTTTTGATTCATGTAGAAAACATTCGGATCAACTTAGGTTTCTGGGAAACTGTCCACCTACCCCTCCCCTAAGCTAACATTAACACTTACTTCTCACTTAGTGCAAAATGTTGGCTTAAGGGAGGGGAAGGTGGGCAAATTCTCAGAAACGTAAAATGCAAACATTTGGTATACTTTTAGGATTGCTAATATTGCGGGGAAGGTTAATAGACGACGTGCGCACAGCTGGTGCGCAATGATATAAAACAGGAGCCCTTTGGCTCCTGTATAAAGGTGATGGTGATTTAATAAATCAGGTGAATTCAGAATCATGTCTCGTCCGTCAATGACACCATTTTGATATCATGATTCACTAGAGAATTATTCACCACCGAATTCACATTAATTCATCGAGGCTTCCTGTTGTTAAACTTTTATTCTTAAAACCACATTAAGCTGTGATGATGCCTCGTGGAAAAAATAAAAATAAATTGTTTTTATCACTTGTTGATCTCACATTAACTTTACTCCCTGATATCTTCATACAAATTCTCTTGCGGACTGAACTACACCATTTCTTCCTAGGAATTAATGATAAAAGATCAAAGCATTTTCCCTTAGATGATCATTTTATTAATTCTCATAACCTTATCTCTTGATTATGTATTAATTTTGTTAGTAGAAAATCGATGTTGGTCACTATAGGGACTTAACGGGGAAAGGTGATGCTTCCAGCTTTTTTAGCTATACATGGAGAGGGTAAGTCGGTCAGTCAGTCATCTGCACTACACGTATCCGATCCTAACAACATTCACCATATACTTGAAAAACAGGGAACTACTACAGGTTCTAGACTAGAACATTTGCCCCCGCAAGACATAAACCACCCCAAAAAGATGTCGGTGGAAACGTATCCCTCTGCTTTTGGGTTAAAAAAAGGCGATCAAAAAGATCCCCTAGGAGTAGTGTGGTACTTCCATAAAACGAAGGGCCAACAAACTGGCAAAACAAAACTGAATGCAGGGCTGGCACTACGACAAAGGCCTGATTTATTATGGGCCAATATTTCGGCTAACAAAGTTAGCCTTCCTCAAGGCCAGGGCTATGCCGAGAGAAAAATATATTGCTGGTTTTCAGTATCACGCCATTTAAAATAGACCAAAATAAAAATCAAAACCGTTCAATACATAAAGTCCAGAATCTGGGAAATGAAAGGAGGTAATATACAAAGACCCTCGCCAAGATTCAGGTCAGAGGAATATTTCGTATACGAGATATCCGAAGAAACGTTTTACCCAAAACTTACAGAGATTTGTATGGAGACGCCACGCCTGTGCTCACCTGGATGGATTCCAACATGGCGATCGGAGACCAACAGAAACATCTGTTATCGAGTTTTGCTACAAAAGCGTGAATTTATTCTTCGAGAAACTCATAAACATACATGAACTGTTTAGAAAGCAAAATTTCCTGAAATAAGTCATTTTTTTTTAACCTACATGCGACAGCTCTCTTGGCCGTCATGTAAATGCAACGTCACTCATAAGCTTAGAAATTCAAGCGTACTCTATCACAAAACCAAGAACCCTTTTGAAGCGAAAATTTGTATGAAATACAAATTAGCTGCTCTAATGCATCGTGAAAGTAAAATCTCGGAAGGATCGATAGTTTTTTAGTTTGAATTTTAGTGACGTCATGTGAAAGCCAACAAATATCACAAGGTTTCGTTATATCAAGGCTTCTGTCCACATAATATGCTATTATAAAGTATAGGAGTCAAGGACTTTGGTACTCGGGCGGGCTCTTTTTATATGACTCCCTCCGTCCAGTCTCCTCTCGCTTTAGGGCACCGAATGAGAGAGACCCTGGGGCGTGGACGAAATTGTTTACACCCCTTTCAAATGGTGCATGTTTTTTCTCATCTCATGTATCACGAGAGGAGCTTTGTCCTCTCTTTCATGTATTCATTTCGTTTCTGTTTACTTTCAGCGTTGTTAAAAACTCCGCCAGCATATTGAATTCGGAGGCACCGTCTCCTGTAGTTTCGTTATGATCACTGTGGAAATGTTTCTTGGTTTGTAAATAGATTATTGTTTGCTTCCCTTTAGATAGTCTCCTTTGCAGCCATTTTTAGGCTCGTCATGCAACGTTCCTTCCCGGAAAGCAATGCAAAAAAAAAACAAAACAAAACAAAAAAAGTTAGCGCGGATCTATGGCTCTTGCGCCGATGTGCTCCTTCCGCTGACACCATCCCCCCTTCCACCAAAAATATCGAAGACGGAAACCAAAATATGCAGTCTACGAAAATAACTTCCTTTTTCTTTTGTAGAAAGACGACACTTGAATGGGATCAGCAATTAGCATACATATTTGTTGCATGTACATATAGGTCATATAGACGCTAAAAGTTTTTACGATAGATTGATTGGTTGGAGAGAGAAGAAAAACTCTTGACGTGACTTTTAAAAAATGTTCCAAAAGGCTTTTGGTTGTGTCTAAGTCTTTCTAACGGGTGAAATCTCGCAAACACTTTTTGTCCATTCAACTGCGTTTATTTATCAGCGAGCCGTCTGGTTGTCTGTCAATAAGCTGGTCCTTTTCGTGCCCCGAGGGCAAATTCTTTTCTAAAACTGTTTAAATTTACGCGCTACACTGAGTTAGAGAGAAGCAATGGATTTTCGAAACCATACTGCAAATAACTGATGTATGTTTTTTTCAGCGTAAATTGCTTTCGATTGAAATTAGGTGGCTTAAGCAATGCAACAACCACGGTGACGGATACGAAAACACTTAACGTCATGTAAAAAGTGAATTCGCGCTGCTTCAAACTTCATCTCGTTCAATTTATCAAATGTTCGCCGATTTTTCTGAAGTTGAGGGACTATATTGAAATTCATGAAAGACCGTCGTTGCACGTCTGCGACTTGAAAATGCCCAATTTCACGTGATCACAAGACAACGAGTTTCCTTTTCTTTCCTGACCTTCGATATATGATAATTTAAGCGTGATAAATTTCGAAGCAGCGCGAATTCACTTTTTACGTGACGTTTTCGTAGCAGTCGCCGTCGTTGTTGCTTAAGCTCACCAGGGAGGCATGACCGCGGCGGCATTTAAAAAAAAGCTTGTGTGCCTTTTATTGATCTTGTGAGATAAATTTCATATTCAAACTCAACCCACTCATTTAGCAGGTGATCTTTACCGACCGTGAAAAAACATTAAAAACAGTAATATTTTTTATTTTTCAAATATTTTCAAATACATGCATAACTTTTTGTTCACTTTAATAAAAAAAAAAAAAAGGCATCAAAAGCGATTCCAACGAAACATTTTTTGCTCCAGTTGTTCGAAAGGCGATTAGCGCTTAACCAAGGGTTAAATTTAACCGGGTTTCTTTTTCTTTCGTTCAAAAGCATTTTCTCGGGTATTTTTCTCTGTTATTTTCATGAGCATCCAATCATCAACTTGTTGACAAAAAGAATTAAACTGAATATACTTTTTAAGCTTTCATATCTGAATTCAAATTTCGCACTAACCGGGGGTTATCTAAACCCAGCTTTGAGCAACCCGGCCCTCTAACGTATTTTTAAAACCTTTTATAGCTCATTGCCTCAGATTAGAGACTTAGAATTAAGGATTACCCCACCTGAATTAAGAAACCAAATCGGGTTTCATGGCTTTTTTTTAACTGGAAAGTTCTTTAAAAATTCGGTCTCGCTTTCTCAGCCGAGGAAGTAGTCTGTTGTTGTTACACGTGGAGTTCACGTGGAGTTGACTGACGCAAGAAATTTTCGCGCCAAACTTAACTCAAATTTGATTGGACACCTTTATCGCTATTGTTTTTAAAACCAATCAAGCAAATGTTTTGTAACCGGAGACCGTGAAAAACCGCGCTTTTCCGCGTTTTAGAGTTCCTACAATGTTTTGATTTTGAATATTCGCGCGCTGGACGGCAAAGGCACAACAGCTCCCACGAGAGTGTTTACGGTGAAACCTTTTTGTTCTTGTTCTGTGCTTTTTGATCGACCATGCCTCCTATTCCAGTCGTAAACGGTGATGTTGGCGAGAAGCTGGCAAATGAATCGGCGTCTAGCGAAAGCCTTGACCAGTCGAATTCCTTGGACAAAACGGAGGAACCCTTTTTACCGGCCGAGGAGAAAAGCGGAGATCCCGCAAAAATCGCCTTGAAAAAGAACGTCTCACTTATCAATGGTATTGGCCTTATTGTGGGTACAGTCATCGGCTCTGGTATCTTCGTCTCTCCAAAAGGTATACTCGAGGAATCAAACTCAATCGGGGCTTCTCTACTTGTTTGGCTTGGTTGTGGCGCGTTAGCTTTGTTTGGTAGCCTCTGTTACGCAGAATTGGGAACGTGTTTCAAGAAGTCGGGCGGCGAATATGCTTATCTCATGGAAGCTTTCGGTAGGATCCCTGCCTATCTATTTGCTTGGACATCAGTGCTGATCATTCGACCGGCTTCAGGCGCCATCATTGCATTGATATTCGCGGAGTATGTAACCAAACCGTTTTATCCTGATTCACCAGCCCCGACCTATTTGTTGAAGCTTTTGGCTTGTTCGTGCCTGGGTAAGTGATTACTACTACTACTACTTTTTGATTCATTATAAACCAGGATAAGTTCGTGATTTTCTTGTTTTATTTTGTTTCGCACGTTGTTGTAGCAAGCGAAATGTGGCTTTTGTATTGATCTAGTTTTGTACGGAGCTGTGTTCATTGTCGCAGCTGGTAGAAACGTGGACAAACCTGCCCTAAGGCTTGGCGGGAATTTCTGTTTTGTAAACTAAATTGCTTTTTATTTACAGTTTTCAGTGAGATACCACCAAGGTTACCGGCCGTTAACTCCTTTATGTTTTAGTAATGAAAAAATTGTATAGACTAAGTTCAAGTCCTTCAGCGATACCGACAAATTCAATTTTTATTCCCAACCACGTGCTTTCAGCTCGAACACTGCGACTAAAATCTGGTTAAAAAAATCGCTATACGGTTTTATTGAGCTTATTTTCTGAATTACAACTTGAAATACGAGCAATTATCTTTATTGAACGTTTGTACTTCTACGAATCGCAAATGATGACGATCCCTTTTGTAATATTTTGGTCGCCATGTTTCGTGATTGCGTCAGATATTTGTTATTCTGAACCATTGGAGTGTGAAGCAATCCAGCTTAACATTCCTTAGTTCACGTGGGGTTGCTTGGAGAACTTCCATGACATTTCTTCATTCCAAAAATAGTGGAGAAAAAAAAAATAGGGGGGAAGATATTGAAAACAGTCCTTTGAAAATGTGCAAAACCTAAACGATATTGCCCTGTAAAATTAATTTAGCTTTTGGTTACCCAAAAATAGAGTATCATTGCCCTTAATCTGATCAATTAAAAAAGTGTACACTTTTATTTGTGTTATTTTTTTGAACCCCTTCATTTATTATGCATCCTACACTCAAGCTTCTATATATCATGAGGCTCATAAGGAGATTATAAAAGGTTTTTGATTTCTGCTTGGGCATGGGGCGATTGTATCATTGAATCACTCATTAGACATAATATTATATGGAAAGTATTTTTAAGGGCAATACAGGTGTATCTAGTCTTTAATCAAAACAACGTCTTAAATTCCCTTGAAAAATCCGTCATCTTTGATGGAAAACTGCAAACTTTTGTTACAAAATTTGTGTTTTTTCTTGGAGCACACATTCTGCGCATTTAGAAATTTAAGTATAGTTTTGAATGTTTTAGATGTCTTGAGTGATATAGTATGAGTCCAAATTTTTAGAGCATTTACGTTTAAGTATTGATGAAAAAAGGAGACCTCTTAAAAACCCAAATGGTTTATCTATCTTTAAATCTTAATTCAGAGGGAAAAGAGATACCTCTAAAATAGTTTTCCAGGGTTTTCATTATGAGCTCTAGTACACATGTAGCTGGAGAAAGGTGTAACATTAGAGGAGAATATTTTGAAAGGGGCTCCACATCTACATAAAAAATAGTCGTAGGCTTACTGAACGTTAGCCAGAGAATTCTGTGTAATGAACAGAGAATTCTCTCATTTCTGATGCCTAATGAACGCCCTGGTTTTCCATTTACATTTTTTTAATAACATTTTTCCTCAATCAATTCACTTTGTTAATAAATTATTGATTGGTACACTCCCTATCCTTCATTGGCTCAATTTACTCAGGAAACCCCTTTAGACTTCGACAGTTACAGTATGTAATAAATGGTGTCTCTTGAGTGTTGTTATGACTTCAATCTTCTCTTTTGACTAACAAAGTGGCTTTTTTGTCAGAATAAACACACTGTACAAGCAGAAGGAAAATGAAATATCCTGCGTTTAAACTTTGGCCCTTACATATGCACTATTGTCCAAGCATAATTTGATAAAATCAAGATAGTTGGTTATTGGCCAAGTTCTTTTTTTGTGTTTTTATAGACCACAACAAAATCAAGGTCCATTAAAACGCAAAAAAAAAATGAGGTAACTAACTATTCAGCTGTTTTTTACCACACATTCTTGACCAATAAAGGATTTATTTGGCCAACACAAATAACTATACTTGCCGGAGAAAGTGGGTGATTCCGAGAGGCAGAGTGACAGACCAAAAATGAACAATTTCAGAATGAGAAATGATTGATAGCATTATGTAGAACTCTAAATCAATTTTGGTTGCAACAAATATCTGATGGCGACCCATGACTAATATCATTGTTAATATTCTCACTATTTTCCAGTGATACTCACTGCTATTAACGTCTGGAGTGTGAAGTGGGCTACTCGAATTCAGGACATTTTCACATATGCAAAGCTTTTGTGTATTGTGATGATAACCATCATTGGCTTTGTTGAACTTGGAAAAGGTACAAAAAATGTTCATTGTCATAAAAAAACTATCCATTGACATTTCAGCTTCACACAACCATTGTATTCTGACTTAATTTTCTTAAAATTATTTATGTCTAAAGGAAAGACTGAACATTGGAAGGATGGATTTGCTGGGTCAACTACAGATGTTGGAAAAATTGGAATGGCATTTTATATCGGTCTGTGGGCGTATGATGGATGGTGAGTTGGCATTCCTATAGAGGCTGCATTTTAGGTATTTTTCACAACTAATATTTTTGGTAAGAGTGGAGTTGGGATTGTTCTCTAAGTGTTTTAATGTAAAAAGTAAAATAAATAATGGTGAATACTCTGTGAAAGTATAAGAGAATTATAGTTAGTGACTGATTTTGAAATGAAACCTGAAGGAGCTAGTTTAGCTAAGCACAGAATTTTTGGTTTTTGTACAAAGACTTTAGTCTCGCAACAATGTTGTTTTAAGTTTAGTGGTGATCTAACGTGTAAATGTATAGGCCATAGTTTCTGTGGTTGAGAGAGGGTTTTATGCTCTTACAATAATATTGGACATTGGGCGATTCCAGAAAATATCCATACCATACCACGGACGGCTTTTAGGATTTCCGAAGGGGAGGGGGGGTTCACGATTATGGAATTCTGAGGGCATGGGGGGTATTTACGATTGCAAATCTGAAGGCATGGGGGAATTTCACAGGTGGGATTTCTGGAGTAGAAAGTGTAGAGTGAGTTCTTTGAAAACGCTATTGTTGTGGACTTTTGTAGTTCGTAAATAAATCACGAACGTATGACCGCGGAAGCAGAAGACAAACATTGATAGATCAGACACGTGTTTACGCTCATAACTTATAGAAGTGAACAGTAAAACGTGGGTTTCACATTAACCTTGATGAATTTCTTTTCACATGAGAAAAAAATGGAATATGTATCTTACTGCTTGCAAGCTTCTTGTTACTCCCGTCCGATGAACAGTAAAAAAACTCGCACCAGTCCCTGGCTTCCAAGGAACGCCTGTCAGATTAGAACACTTTTCGTGCACACTACATGACCTATATAAGGAAGCAACACGACTCGACGGTATATTTGACCGCCGAAAGATTTTAACAGTCTGAATTTGAGCTATTTTGCTTTGTAAACGTCAAAACAGCACAAGAAAACAAAGAGGAGTAAAATTGCCGTTAGTGGTGTTTATTTTTATTGCCAAATTCGGACCTAAAAAGGAGTTGCACAGCCTGGCTACTAGCGGTAGGTTAGAGTAAAGCTTGTCGCCTGGCGCTGCTAGATCACAGTCTTGAGGAGGCATAAATTCATGTTCGTTTGTTCATATAGGCGTTGCTAAGTCGAAAATGTACTTCCAAAAAAACGGAAATTCTGAAGGGGAGGGGGGGGGTTCACGGTTATGGAATTCTGAGGGCATGGGGGGGTAACACATTTTGGAATTTCCAAAGGCAAGGGGGGGATAAAACATGGAAGCCGTCCGTGGTTGGGTATGGATATTTTCTGGGATTACCCATTGGGCGACCACAGGGAATTAAGACTTTGTGACAACTGATCAGTTTTGCTCCCTGGAGAATAGGGAAGGGTACTGGGCCTTAGTTTTAGGGGCATTTAAAATTTTTGGGACACTTCCCTCTATTAAAATTCAAGCTTTTTAGCTCAGGATACAGGTTATCTGCTTAAGGACGCACATTTTATGTGGACAAGATACTAAGCTGATTTGCGCATTGCTATGTTACAGGAACAACCTCAACTACTGTACAGAAGAAATGAAGCACCCTGAAAAGTATGTAACTCTGAAGAACTTAGGAGATATTTTCAGTCTTAAGTTTTCTTTTTTAGTTTGCTTTGTGTCATTATACTTTTCACTATCTGATGCCAGTAGATGCCCTTCATTTCATTCTAAACCATCTCCAAATTAAGTTACCGTTAAATTCCGAAAATAAGCCCCTCCAAATATAAGCCCCCCAAAATCGTAACGCAAAAAACCCTCCTTTAAATCGCCCCTCCGAATATAAGCCCCCCGGGGGGCTTGTACTTGGAATTTGCCCTCAAATACAAAGTAAAACAAAGCAAAAATGGTAAATTGCCTTTCCACTAGCTAGCCCAAGCAAAAGCTAGCTCAACCGATTTTATAACGCAAATTTCCATCCGTACATAAGCCCCTCCGAATATAGGCTCCTCCAAAAATAAGCCCCTCAAAAAGGGCCTTTGAAAAATATAAGCCCCGGGGCTTATTTTCGGAATTTTACGGTATCTCAAAGCACAAATGACCTGCAATCCCAAGATATTAACCAATCAATACCTGTTTCTTTATGGATGTTGTCTGTTGATGCCATTATGTCAAGCCCTACTATTTAATCACAAAAGGTGCTTACAACCTAATGATTATGTATTACTCTCTTTTACCTACAGAGATATGCCTAGGGCTATAGTCATTGGTATCTCCCTAACCACTGTGTGTTACTTGATGGTCAATGTGGCCTATGTAACTGTATTGGGATCAGCTGGGATTCTGGCATCTGAAGCAGTGGCAGTGGTGAGTTTAGGGAGGCACAAATTTCCAACTTTACATTCTAAACTCTGTATGTATATTACCCAGACAACTTTGAATTGATACCATTTACTGAGTCATGTGTTTGCCTTTTACAGAGTTTAGCAGGGTCATATAACCTTCTATGACTTCAGGGCTATCACTAAGCACCTGGGGTGCAAGATTTCCCACGCTCACTATAAGGATAACCCCCAGCTACCTTCTTAGGAATCAAAAGAAAAATAAAAGCAAAAGAACTTTCTAGCTGTTCAATTCTGTGTTCTAAAAGCATATAACCAACAACTTGAAATCTCACTGACAGCCCTGATGATTTGCCATTGAGTTCCTCTAATCATGACAGTAGGGAGCTACGATGACGACCACAACAATGACTTCAAAAAAACAATAGGTTTAATGATCAAAATAACAGCCCTGCACGTGCATCACGCTTTTTAGTACATTTCTTTGACGTCCACTGCACGACTACGACGTGAAACCTCGATCCTAATTTCACCTTTTATAGAGGACGTGGACCTAAGACAACAAATTTTCCTTTATCTTTTTAAACCTGAATAAAATCCTCAAGAATTCAACTCCAGGAAAAGTCGCCTGCATTTGACATATCGAGCGGGTCCAAATAGATGCAATTAAGTTTGAAAGAATGCAAATTCATTTTTTTACAGATGTTTTCACTGCCATCGTCGTCGTCATCCTTGCTTTAGGTTCGTAATGTTGTCCAGGTGGTTTGCTGGTTCCATCCAGTCTATCCCACCAGAGAAACTTATCCTCAAACAAGTTCATGTTCTTCCCCTGTGTTTCTGTTGATATTTCCCTCGGTCTGACTTAATTTAGTCCACTGACTGCATATGGAAAGAAATAAGTCATTCCTCCCCTAAACCTTTCTTTACAACTCTCTTAGTGAGATTCAGGCAACTTAATTCATTTTTGTGTTTACGAATAGCTTTACAATGCATTTTTTGTTTAAATATTAATTTAGAGTGTTGGCAACTTGTACCTTGGACCAGTGCATTGGATCGTTCCTGTTTTTGTGGCTTGTTCGACATTTGGAGCTGTCAATGGACTTCTCTTCACTAGTGGAAGGTTTGTTTCAACAATCCTTGGCCCTACTATGCACATTTTACCATGTTTAACCATTTAAATAGTCAGGGTAAGTTAGAGTATTATATTGTTACCTCTGCTTGCTTTCCAGGTTAGTGTATGTCGCTGCTCGAGATGGCCTAATGCCTCCTCTGTTGGCCATGATTCATGTTAAGAGATTCACTCCTTTGCCATCCCTCTTTTTTACAGTAAGTACAAGTCTCTTTTTCTACAGTTGGCCTAGTTTGGTTTAGATGGGGACCAATGACCATTTTTGACAATAAACACATTGATGTTTCATTACACGTGTTTTAACCAACTTCCTCTCTTGATTCCAGACAATTGTTGCCATTTTGATGTTAATCCCAGAAGCTAGCAGCTTCATGACCTTGGTTGATTTCTTCAGTTTTGCTGCCTGGTTGTTTTATGGTAGTACATTTGCAGCCCTTCTGTGGATGCGACGATCAAGAGCAAATGTAGAAAGGCCTTATAAGGTAAGCCAGAATTGCTGATAATAGTAACTGTTGCACAGCCATCACTGTTTGGAATTGTTGGAAAAAGCATATGCCATATTCTTGTACTGCCAAATTTTATAAAATTCCTGATCCCCCACCCTTAATAATAGCCATATAAATTGTGTTGAAAATTGTGAGAATCATGTCTCTTGTAGGGCGTCTTGACTGATGTATCAGCTGATATATTGGTAAACTGTTGGTCATATTGGTCACCATATTGTTTAATTCCCCAGATTAACCAGTTACCAAATTGCAGGGTATTTTCATTTATTGACGGACAGACCTCATCCAGAAACTTCAAATTTGTGGCTACTCTTTTTCAGTTTCCCTCCCCACTTGGTTTCCCAAGGGACCTGACATAAGTGATTTGTTATATTTCTAGACTTTCACTTCAACAGTGACACAAGAATAATGGAGCGAATCAAATCATTTGACTCCGTTCTTATAAGAACTCAAATTTAATTTTCAAAACCTCTGAATCACTGAATGAATGATTTACACAGTACTTTCCTTATCTTACCTGCATCTTTTTCCTCCGCTAGCTGCTCTTTCTCTTCAGGGATAACTTTTAAAATCGTTGCTTTTTAGCTTTTTTGGAGGCTTCATGTTTGTGTTGTGGTTCTTGTTGTGTTCATTCTTCCCCCCCCCCCCCCCCACCTGAGTTCCGACGCGGTTTCTTCCGATCTAAAACCTCTGTATAACCGAAGGAATTATTTTCAAAATATTTTCCTTTACTTCCCCTCCTCTTTTTCCCCCGCCAGTTGCTTTTTCTTTTCAGGGTAAAATTTTAAAATCTTTTCTTTTTATCTTTTTTGGGGGGTTTCTGTTTGTTTTTTGGTTTTTTTTGTTTTTATTCCCCCCCCCCCCCCCCAAGAAAAAAAAAAAAACTGGCATTGTTTTTCCCAACTTCTATCATGCCACTTTCCACCATGCTTTGATCACATGCTGTAATGTATCCTGAACAGGTTACATTTGCTCAATGTATCACGATTGGGATACATTTGATTTTAGTCAAGGCCATGTGACCAAGAATGAACCAGTGGCAGTCCCTGTTTACTTGAGTGAAAGTCTAGGAATATAACAATATTATTTGTTTTATACTTCAGGTAAATATCATCATACCCATTGGCATGTTGCTTGCCTCTATTTACCTTGTTGTTGCACCAATCACAACTGATCCATGGGGATCTCTCATAGCTCTGGCAATAATCGTGGCAGGTCTTCCATTCTACTGGCTGTTCATTTACAGTGATAAGGCACCAAAATTTATCCTTAATGCAGCAGGTAAGACTCAGATACTTAGAGGATACCTAACCCTAACCCTAACCCTAAATATCTTGCTAAGAAAGACTACATGTTCTCAGCTTAAGTGTTGCCTCAAGCCTCTGTGCTCTTTGCTTGCCTTTTAGTCCCTGCAATATAGGGGATGTTACATATGTTCTGCTTTCATTATTTTGTGTTGAATTATGTCCATAACAATGTTTGGCCCATAAAAGTTTATTGAACTTCTAGAGCATGATGTATGCAATGTGTTATGTAATTAGATCTCTGTACATAGCCAACATGGTTGCACACATATAAAGCGGTGGGTATTTTGGGAGCGCAAGATGGTTACATTTAGTTAAATGGATACATTGAGAAATATCAGCCTTACTGGAACTTATGTCCACTATTATAATTATTATGTAGATCATTAACTCTTCAGTTTACAAACTTTAAGATTATCAATTAGATGATGTATTCTGTCAATGACAAATTGCATTTTTTTTCCAGATACGTTCACAGCCTGGTGTCAGCGGGTAGGGAACATGGCTTTTGAGGATCCTGACACTGTGCCAGTTGAAGTATAAAGAGTTGTAAGAGTATTAAACAGATTAATCAAGTTTACAAAATTAATGGCAAATGTTGATTTGTACCACATGTTCAAGTTTTCCTTTACTACTCTATCACTGTTCTTTGTACAATAACATGTACCTGCAAAGAATTATTAGTAGTAGCAGTTTCATGTTAATATCACCCAGGAAATTATTATGAACCATTTTTATCTGTCCATTTGCTAATTTGAGAACCTGACATTTGCCAATTGCTGTAAATGTGATTCGTAATCATTCCATTGTCATAAATCTTTTACTTGAAAGTAAATATAAGATAACGTCCATCTTTACAGCAACATGCAGTCAATGTGTCAGTAAAGTGAAAAAATATATTTATTTGTTGGATTTTTTTCATATGAAAATATTTTATACCTTTTGCTGACTAGTTATGTATAGTATATATTATTTTAATACAACATCAAAAAATGTTCTTTTAATGGACAAAAATTCTCCTCTACTTTAGATTCCATATAAAATGCATTGTACCATTATTTCAGTTAAAGCAAATGTTTTGGCTAAAAAAATCCACAATATAAAAACATCGTAACAAGTGTTGATTCATGAGAAAAATCAACTTCCTACACGGCTAGTTTGAAACTTGTATATTCAAAGCTTGTTACAGAAAGAAATGTCAGAATCGTGAAGTTTCCAACCAGACAAGCTGCCAATATATTTTCATACTTAATTGAAGGGCGCATCAAAATCTATTAATTCTAGATCTTAACTCGTTAGTTAGTTATTTGTAGGTATGAATTTCTCAGTTGATCTTCATCAGAATTTTCAGAAAAAGGACTGTATTGTTTCATTCGGAGACTTTCAGTCAAAACTCATAAGCAAAACTGCCAGTTAATTTTTTGTGCATGCTAAAAATAAATTTCTGTTGCTTGGAAATGTTTTACACCTTCATGTTCAAGTGTTTTTGTGTGACTTAACCCTTCACGCCCCAGTATCCACATACAAATTCTCCAACCTGATCTCCATACATTTCCTTAAAGAATTAGTTGAGAGAATTTGATAATAGATCAAGGCATTTTCTCTCGGGTGATCATTTTTTTAATTCCCGTAACTTCCCTCTTAAAAGTGTGTGGATGTTGTTAGGAGAAAATTGATGTTGGTCACTGTTGGGACTTCAGGGTTAACACAGGAGGATAGTAGGACAGAGGGGGAATCTTAGGGCGTTGGCAGGGATATGAGAATTTCACTTAAGTTAGTTTTAGAGGTTGTAATTAAACGGAAGTCTAATTCCTGAGACGTCTACACATTTTAGTTAATTTATTGTTTGAAATGTCATCAAGTCCATGTGCGACTACCTAAAAGCAAACAATGCAGAGTACTGTAAAGGCGTCTGTTGAATTCTCTCATGACAACACTGAGTAAAAGTTTGCGGACCTCTCAGGAGACCAACTTCCAATTAACTTCTAGCGTTTACTGGTCCAAAAATAACTTAGGTGAAATTCACATATCCCAAGGGCTAGACTGGGCGTGTCTGTTCAATTATTCCCTCTCAGTCAACAACAAAGTTAAAGACCTGTTTGTCTGTGTGGCATATGCTGTTTCTTTAACCTGTTATTCAAATATGTAAATTATCCTTTCTTCATCCATACAATGTTTTAAGATGTTGTATGGAGAATTTGTTACAGTATAAAGGGTGCTCACCTTGATGGTCATAACTAAGTTAATGCATCAGCTCTTTGACTGAGTAATGGTTACTGGAAGAAATATATGGATAATGATCACAAGTGGGTAGGTTCTGGGTGTTGCAGATGGTTTGATCCTAAAACTGCGTTTATTCGCTTTAAGAGGCCCTGTTAGAGTAAAATTCCAACAAGTGACATGGCGTTTTAACAGCAACATAAGACTAGATGAAATGACGTCAAACGACATAAAGATGGGTTAAATACTGACAGGGACATGACCTACTCTTCGAACCCTGAAACAAACGTGTTTGAATTCAGACTAGGGACATGCATACCCCACCTCCTGACCTAAGAGGGCCTCATTAAACGCCTCAGGTGGAAGTAAAATTACCAATACATACCGCCTTCAGATGAACGCTGCACCCAATCATAAGAACACGGCGTTTATTCAAGGATTATAAGAAAAAACTTGGTGCAGCTTTATTATCTACACCTTACTGACAATTACGATTCTATCTCAGCAAGAAAAGCAACGCTAAAATTTGCGGGTTTAATCGAGTAAATACGGTAATTCAGTCCAAAAGTTTAACAAGCCGATGATGGATCTGGCCACTGCAAGATGGACAGCAGCCAACTAACAGTGGTTTCTGCAACGTCCAAAACACTCACAAATAACTGACGAGGTTGGGGTTTTCAGGTAAGGTCAGTGGCAACCTTACGCTAAATTACTTGACTAAAAACTAAATATTAGATTGAATATAAAAAGATTTACACAAAGGGATGTTGCTGACTGATGAATTTTGAAAACCCAAATCATTGTCATAGTAACTTTTATACTGTTAGATTAGTTTGACTATATTGTCAAGGTATTAGGTAGTTGTCGCTTCCAGTGAAGTCCATATAAAAATGTCTAGAATGTAATCCAAATGGTGGGGAAAGTTGTAAACGTAATAAGCCATTAGCATGCAAATTTAAGTTATCAAAATGTTATTATAACCATTAATGCTTAGCAGTAAAAGTTGTAAAGATCTCATTGGTGGATCTTGTATATTTAGCTAATTTATGTTGTTAATGTGGAAATATTATAACCAGGCCTCAGTTGTTCAAAAGCTGGATATAGCCCTGTCCAGGATAGTACATTTGGTTTCCTTAAAGGGGTTGTATCATGGCAGTCCAGTTCATTTTGCCAATTGCTCGCCCACAATCACTAAATGGAGTTACATGTAAATGACAAAATCAGAGATTCGAGACAAGCAAATATGTCTCTTGATCATTATTTTTGAAGTTGCAAACAGCAGAGATCAACTTTGAAAAACTGAACAGTTTTCAAAAACCTTAATTTCAATCCGTTTCAATCTTCTTCAGTTTTGCCCATCCGTGGCATCTGTTGTGTTACTTTAACCTTCCTTTAATGTTTTAAGCGGTTATTTTTATGTTTCTCTCAATCGAACGGGCATTTTGTAATTACCCAATTTGGCTGAATTTCGTGACACAGCTCCTTTAATACTTATTTACTGGATAATGATTTATCCGGTGGACGGCTCTATCCAGCTTTTGAACAAGTGGGGCCAGACCAGTTGTAAACGTTAAGTAAATAATATAGTAAAACCCAAAGCTGTGTAAAGCAATTTCATTTATCAAAGCAAGTGTATCATTAAAAAAAGACTTGCAAACCACTTTATGGACTTGGTCCCTTCAGTAACATATTGCTTGAATCTAGACTGACTAAACATTCTTCCTTACCCCACCCCACATGGTCTTTTCTTAGACCTCATGTTGGATGGGCCCTACGAATATAATGACGTTACCCTTTTCGACCACTCTCAGCCACTGAAATGCACAAAAAATTGGGGGTAGCCACGCATTTTTTAGAAGGGGTTTACTGACGAAAATGAAAAATAAGTTGCAGTCGTAAAAGTTCAGTCAACTCTCCCAGAAAGACAAAAGAGTTGGTTCTTGCTGTTCTTTGACTCTCTTTTAGGCGGACATGTGTGATCAATTTAGTTTTCTAGGTAACTGTCCACTTCGGGCAAAATGTTGGCTTATGGGAGAGGTAGGTGGGCAGTTTCAAAGAAACTTTATCGTGAGAAAATAACCTCTCGGATACCCAAGGTACCCCGTCTGTATCTTCGATTCAAATGGTACGAGTATGGGTTACAGTTTTATCCGTGCGGCACGCCCCTACCAGGAATTCCCAGGACTACCCCCCCCCCCCCCCCGCGCTCCCAAAAACAACCCCCCTCACCCTCTCCCCACTCCCCCTTTTTTTCCCCCCATCTAACTTTTTTTTTTTTTTTTTATTTTTTTTAACCCAAAAAAAAAAAAAAATTATAAACTACCCGAGGGTCCCCCAAACCCCTACCCCCACCCCAAACCAAAGGGGGGAAAACAAATCCCCGTTTAAAAACAAAAAGGCACAAAAAAGAAACCCCTTTGGACGGCCCCAACCCGTTAGGGGTTTATATGGGTGTGGGCCCCCCCCCCCCCCCCGGGAGTTTCAAAAATCAGTCCCTGTCACATTTTCCCATAATCCTCTTTGTTTCCACAACTTCGTTTTCAATTGTCTTGGGACATAAAATTATCCTGGGGGTAATCAGTGGGAGAATTGCATTTGCAAATCACGTGTCTGGGGGAAAGGACAAAGAAGAACGTATTATGGGAGATGTGGAAGTGGGGTGGGAAATGGATTTACAACGAGTGAATGGTTATATTGATTGCCTGAGTTATGGTTTTAAGACAAGTAAAACACAAACGGCTCATTTACTAAGTATTAGTGGACTTAATTTCATTTTATTTGCCTTAAAAACTTCACACTGTGGTATACAACTAAATAGATTATGTGGAGTTTTAAAAATAATAGCTACGAGTGTTTTGTTTTATCTACTTATATGGACTCTGTAATGCACAAATTCCCTAAAGGTAATCAACCGTACTGGCGAGTGTAATGTTTTAAAAATCGAAGGTACAATACCTTTGAAATGTGTCAACGGTACCTTTGCACAAATCTCAGCCAGACTCGACAATCTTGCTTTACCTTTGACGTGAAACAAAGTTGTATTGCTTTGACGAAAGGCAGACCGCCTTTATCACGTGAAACCACATGCATAGGCGATGTAAATTTAATGAATCTACTCGGTGTGTGATGATAAGTTGACCAAGCAACTATATTCGACAACGCCATTGGTCAACACTCGTAGCAAATCAGATCTGTGACACGCGTATACACACACTAAAATGTCATAAAAATCTCTAAAAACATATGCAAAGTTTTTCAATCCACAGAGCTTCTTAAATTTCAAGCCTCTGAACAGGATTAGATTGCAGCAAATATATTAACATGATTTATAGCTAAACATTCCGAATTTGATATATATCATATATGTACATAAACGCTTAATTAATTTAATTCAATTCACATAAGGTAGATTGTCCGCATTTTTTAAATAATATAAACGCTGCAGCGCATTAATTGTAACCTACAATACATTTGCCAATCTCATATACTACTCGACTAGATACGACACCCACACTCCGTCCGAGCCAGAAAATCACTCAGATATCATAAGCTAGCGAGAACCGGGCAAATGGACGTAAAATTCATTTCGTTTAAGTTACTAACAATGCCCTTAAAAACCGAGATAACTGCTCAAAATTGACCAAATTGTCCAGTACTTCTAAATAGGCCATTTACACGTCGACGCGATTTTACTAATATAGCCTGCGTAGCAGGCGCTAGGAAGTACATGGGCGCAAGAAAGAACGGGCGCGTGCGAGGGAGACACGCGAGGGGAGAGGGCTCGCGCGTGCGTTTTTTCTCGCGCCCACTTATTTCCTAGCGCCTGCTACGCAGGCTATTACTAATACGACCAGAATCCTTTAGGGTGTGGCGTTCTTGTGGAAATGAATGCTTTTGTTTCTTAAACCCCGCAGGAATTACCAAATTCAAAATATGAAAGGGAAAACGAAAAGGATTCTGGTTGTAGTAGTTAACTGACGCCATCGTGCAAATGGCCGACAACATGGTCAAGACTTTAAGCACCGATACATACAGTAAGGCAGAGCCCTTCTCGTTTCAGGTTTTCCAGCTTTTGCCACCTAAGTTATTCAATTGACTCACAGGAAAATAATTTCGTTGGTCGTCTTAACCAAAATCATGAGCAGGATTGATAGCGTGGGAGATCTGTTATCAAGACGCCTTATTTTGTTGAGATGAACACAATCGACACAAATGGTTAGGTCAGATGACTAGCATTACCAGAAAACAGTTCAGTTTTCGCCCTTGATAAAATATATTATTTCCAGTGAAGTATAAAAACTATAGTTCTAATTTGCAAAGGAAAACAACGAACTGAAATGGGATTCTGGCTGCGGCAGTCAATTAACGCTTTCTTGCTAATCTTGCAATTTATTTTTGGGAGCCTGAAACCACTATAGCGCTTGTTTGTCATCATCATCATCATCAAATTCAGCGCTCAAAAGATTATGACACATCCTATTGCTGTATGACAATGTTCTAACAGACCACGTAGCTAAAAACAATATCTACACTCATAAACTGTAAGATAATTCAGCGTAATACTAAGTTTGAAAGAGGGAGCGTAAGAAGGCTACCCAAGGATTGCATTTGTTTCTATCTGACCGATTTGTTTTGTAAGGAAAAACCTATACCAGCAACTCTGGCTGTAGACTGTTCACAGTTCCCTATTATGTCGTAAGGGTTTACGGTCATCTCGCCACCAACGAATAAATCTGAAATAATTGACACAGGTTAATACCTAGCATTACTTACCTAAGATTTTTGCTTTTTTGTCAAGCTTACTCGAATTTAAAGTCGACCCAAATACAAATCTGTCGATCCTAATTGACGAACCTTGCGTCGAACGTCTTGTGCTCTTGATAATGTAAATACTAATAATACATGTGTAGGTCAGGTTCTGTGAATGTAAACTTTGACATTTGAGGATTACAAAACTGGCAGAAACGTTTCAAGACCACTAGTCATTTTTGAAATATGAAAATAAAGTAACGGTTAAGAAGTTTCCGTTCATGAAAGTTCAAAATTATGCTAATCTAAGTTCTATTCTTGATGGCGTTGGTGGCGAACTGGTTTGGTGGTGACCAGATACCTTTTGTAAGATCGTCAGGATCGAGCAGCTACCCTTCCAGGCGGCCATCTTGGCTTCAAATGTACCAAGTCTAGCTTGCGGATGAGTAATACTTCTATTTTCGATCTCAACGATCTTACGAAAAAATAGGGAAATGCGAACAGTCTACTCTGGATGATTTTCAGTTTGGATTTCGTCCATGAACTCCTCAAATATTCAAACTGAACACCAGACTCACTAGAGGATTCGATGTTTGGATTTCGTCCATGAACTCCAAAATATTGAAACTACAGTTTTAAACTTTGTGTTTCTGAATAAACATTCGAAATTCAAATACCAAAAAAGCCGAACCCTTATCAGAGTAACGACCTTGGAATATAGTATTAAACTGTACGGGTAAGGAATTTGAAGACCAAATACTTTTAATTGAGGTGTAAATTGTCTAATACAGACAACCATACAACTTTTTTGAAAGCAATTATGGAAATGTTTTTGATATTCTCCTATATATTCTCCTCGGCAACACCCTTTTCTTTCTCTCGAAACGAGGAGTTCTGGTCGTAACAAAGTAAATGCATGCGCAAAACGCCGGATGTAAGAAGTTAGCTGACAACCGATATTGGTTGCGACCAGGGCCCCTCATTTCGCTAACCACTCGAACAAATGAGAAGACAGGCGTTGGCCGGGACAAATAAAAATACTTTCAACACTCACGACGCCACCATTTCAGCTTCATTTTCGGGGAGAGCCACATCAAATACTTTCTGCAATTTGTAAGTTAAGCTCGCTGAAACGGAAAGAAAATATATAAGGTACTGCACATAAACTACAGCGGTAAACACGCGCCTGACCAACCACCTCAATAGCAAGGCAAGTTTGATATCGCATTCTAGCTTTGATAGTTTACTAAGATTACTTATAGCGTCAATAAACAAATATGACCCAAACGGGTTTCAAAAAACGCGGGAAAATGCCTGTCAGCATGGCACCTGCCTTAAGCTCACTTCTGATTGGTGGAGAGAAGGTCGCGGTGTTTTCTAGCCACGTTCTTCCGCATTCGTGTCGAATCTCGAACAGCTTGGTACCGATTCGTAGTGCCATTTGCAAACAGATGCGTGAATCCCCCCTCTCTGTGTCCCGCGATTTTAAATCCGGAAAGTAATACTAGGTATCCAAGTGAATTTTCTCATTTACTGATGTGTGCCAGGAGCCCTCTTTAGCTCCTGTCCGAGTAAATGTAAAAAATCCGGGAAAATTTATGAAACCGCCAGGAAAATCTTCTGTATTCGAGCTTAAGCAAAGACGTTTTCGAGCAACGCACGTCAACCGGAAGTGGACTTTTTTCATTCTTGGGCAGTGGTTTTGCCCAAATTTTCGTGTCGGGGGATATCAAAAGGCAAAAGACCTTACTTCCGGTTGACGTGCGTCGCTCAAAAACGCCTTTGCTTAAGGTCCCCTGCCTGAAAGGTGTAGGTACAAAAAGGATCACACTCACTGCTGAGTCCTGGTGAGGAAAACGTTGACCCCTTTGCCCGAGCCAACAGCACTCGCGCATGCTCTGATTGTCTAAAATAGCGCACGCGCATGCTCTGATTGTCCAAAGCAGCGCAGGCGTATGCTGCGATTGTCTCGCTTTGACCGAGTTGACTTAGCTGGGAGAACCACAGTGTTTATACAAGGAAGAGTTGGCCCGGCTAGGAGGGTGAGCCCACTATTACAAAAGGGTGACCCGGCTTCAAGCCGAGCCAACCACAGTTCGCCCCGTTTTGTAAGGAAATCTATGAAAAGTTGGCTCGCCCAGGGTAGCTCAACGTTTCTCCATATAAACCGGGCCTAAGTTAAAACCATTAGCTATAGTTTAAAATTACGCACGTAAAGATTTCCTTTAACGTCAGTTAAAAAAAAAGAAAGAAAGAAATAACAACTTACCAATTGCCGCAAAGAAGCTTCGAGGCACGATGTCAAAATAGACAAAAATAAGATAGAAAGGTATTCCAGCCAAAATGAAGAGCAAGCAGAAGAAGGATTCCAGAGGTGCTTCATAGAAAGGTGCTATTACCAGGTAAAATGAGGCCAGCAAGACAAGAATGGGTACTATTATTGGAACCTGATATAGGAAAACAGTCATTGATATAACAAATGGCGGCGTATTCGATGGATTTCACTCAGCCAAAACTCAAGGTACATTTGATGGGTTCTCGGCTTCTATGCCCGACATATTAAAGGCGAAGGTTCCAGTGTCTCTCTGTTTAATTTCTCTCCTGCCTTTCTACCTTGCTATTCTAAGTGTTTCTTCCGACACGCGCAAATTGAAACAAGGTATTCAGTATTCAGTTATTATGGTTGGCTGGTCCTCCAGCTTTTGTTGCTTACCACTGAATAGCTGAGACTCCATGTCATTCCATTTTATTTCCAGTGACCAATCTTCCTTTCTTCCATCACGTTCTTCCTATCTCTAGCTAGGCCTTCCAAGGAATACATAACCTACTTTTAGCTGTCTCTTTACCGACCTTGCCCCTCAAACTACAGCATTGCTGTCTACAATGTCTCTTTATCTTTTACCAGGCTACTTGAAGTGAATGTTACAAAAAAAAGAAGAATCGTAAATAAAATTAGGCTGCACAACATCATGGCATTCTGATCTTCGTGGTAGTCAATCGTTCTGTAATATTCCTAACTGCCTGTAGACTTTCTATCGATATAAAACTGTGTATATTCAGTTATTTATCATTTCCACTCAAAAGCTGTCCATAGCAACATAAAAGCCTCTCCTATCAATATGATTTCAGTACCTAATGTAGGGTCCTGGTTATGGCTGCAACGATACAGTTTCACATGATACGACTGACACAATTTTATTGTATCGCAATATCGCGATATCTTGTTGAAATATCGATATTTGTATCGTTAGAACAAATATCGCGGTTAACCGATGCATCGGTGAATCGTTGCACACCTTATTCTGGTAGATTTTTTCAGTTGGTATAGTTTTCCATCCGAACGTTTGTTGTGCTGCAATAGCGTTTACAGATTTCCATAATTTCCCTTGACCTATAACAATTTTTCCCAAGACTTTCAGTATGTCTTTTCTGTCTCTCTCCCAACTTAGTCTGCCTGAGCCTCGCTTTCAGGCTTCCCTATCTATAACCCTTGCCCCACCCCCCTGCCCTAACACAAGGGACCAATCATCGAGGACCTTGGTTCCTTAGCGTAATTAATTATTAAGGCAACATGACTCACTTTATAGGGTCGTTTCATTTCAGGTTTCCGATAACGAAGCCAGATGAGAGCAGACACCGTGACACCATAGAAAACCCAAGCAGCAAAACTGAAGTAGTTTATTAGCGTCTCAAAAGAGCTGGAGTCGGGCAGTAACATGATCCAGGCAATTATACTCTGAGGTTAAAAAAAGAAACAGGGAAAATAAACGAAAAACTGCCAGAAGAAACGTGAATGGCTAGCCTTCAACGTAGACGTTCTGTAGGGGCTTCGTCAGACGATTGGGTACGCCTGAGGAAGCCCTAGGAACGTCTGCGTGGGAGGCTAGTGAGCAGTAAGTGTGAAAAGATCGGTGAAATGGTAGCCGAATATGTTAAGTTATTACTCTTTCCTCCACAGAGGTTCCTGCTGGGTATCACAACAGTAAAAATTGCAATAATCGAAAAAAGGAAAGCGCGCGGGGGACGATGGGAAGGGGGAAATGGCAGGAGCCGAGGCCTCGCTTCCTCTCTTTTCCCTTCCCATCGTCCCCCGATGCCTTTTTTTCCTTCTCCCCAGCCTCCCTACGACACAAAGAGGCCTTCGCGGAGGAAAGTTATAAAGTTATATTACAAAAGTATACAGTCAACTCTCTCTAAGACGGACACCTTTGGGACCGGCACTAAGCGTCCGTCTTAGAGACGTGTCCTTCTTGTGGAGAGTCAAATAAAGGGAGTAAAGAAAGGCAGGGACCAACTCTAGGTGTCCGTTTTACAGAGGTGTCCGTCTTATAGAGGTGTCCGTTAAGAGGGAGTCGACTGTATTTAAAGAACACGGGTTCTCAGTTCATAACATAGTCGCGAAAAATGACTGAATGAGCGTAAGATAATCTTCCTAAGCTAGACTTATAAAATAAAACCAAAAATAAAAGGAGCATATTTCACTGAGAATATAAGGTTAGGAAAGCTGGATATTTTCCAAGTTCTTTTCTTGCAAAAAGAACAACAAAGAGAGAGAAAGAGAGAGAGAAGAACGAGCAATATCTAGCCTATTTTCACGGGAACTAGCGTTATTAATACAGAATTTATTGCATAGCAAAAAAAAAAATGCTTTCCTGCATTCCGGCAGGAACAAAAAGCGGTAAAGCTGAGATTCCCTAGCTGATAACCCATAGGCCCAACTTATCTGCTGGGTGAATTCCCGCCGGGGGGGAGGACTACCCTATATAAGCCATATAGGTATGTACCGCCCAAACGTGTAGGGTTTTTTGTCCTTTCTGGTCTGAAAACGGGTATACACTTTGCCCATTTTGGTCTGGAATCGGGTATGGTTTTCGATGGAACTACGGGGGTGTATGAACGTATTTATCGTTTCAATTCCAAATGAATAAGAACGAAGTAGAAATTTGCGAATTCGAAATGCATTTGGAGAAATTGTTTGTTTGCGCTCTTATCTAAGAAATGATGACATAATTTCTGTCTAAAGACAAGGGGCCCGTTTCTCGAAAGTCCCGGTAACTTTTCGGGCCCGAACTCAAATATTCAAATCGAAATAAAAAGAAGGAGAGCGCCGGTCCTGGCTAGCAAGCTACTCCATTTTGTTTCATTAACTGATAGTTTTATCATGTTAGATGCAAAACTATTGAAACCTCAATCTTTAATGTAAACGGAGACAGCTTACCGGGCCCGTTAATTATCGGGACTTTCGAGAAACGGGTCCCAGGTCTGAAAACGGGTTTGGATTTTAGAGGTCTGGTCTGAAAACGGGTGTAGAAAATTACAGTTTTTGGTCTGAAATAGGGTCAGGATTTAGAGAACTGGGCGGCACACCCCTACCAATAATTCCTAGGAGTACCCCCACGGGGTGAATTCCCTTGATCAAGCCTGCTCGCCGCGAAGCCAGCGTATAGTAATGTCAGTTTGTCTGTTGTCAATTCGGTTCTTTTGACCTACCGTGAACAGCATGGCGGGAAGGGGAGTGTGTCTCTTTGTGTGAATCATGGCAAGGAACTTGGGCAAATGTCCTTCTCGGGCGGCGGCGAATACTAATCTACAGTAACATAGAGAGAGAATGTATGAATCTCGTTGTTGGGCTCATTTTTTATGATAACTACAGGGTCCATTTGTTCAAAGTTAAATTAGCTCTAATAGGAAAGAATCAGCTTCAAATGCTCCTTTGAATAACCTAGGATCTTCATCATGATTTGCTAACATTCATGAATAAATCTATCCGGAGGGATAATCAAGAAGTTAACCCTTCAAGTTCCAAGAGTGATCAACATCAATTTTCTCCTAATCATATCGACACATAATCAAGAGTAAAGGTTATGAGAATTCATAAAGTAATCACCTACAGGAAAATACTTTGATCTGTTACCAAATTCCCCAAATTAATTGTTGATGGAAATGTATGGAGATCTGTCTAAAGAATTGTATGAGGGTATCGGGCCTTAAAGGGTTAAGCTGTATATATGCCTGGCTATAACACGATTCAGTAAGTCCCTATGTAGTAACTATTTGATCATGTTCACATAAGTTGCCAGGCCTAGATGAAAACAACAGTAAGTAAGACTTCAACCAATATAATAAGCAGAATTTCAGTACGCTGAAATACCAACCTTCCACCACTAAAAGCTGATCCGTTAGCTGCTCCAAATGTTGACGATGCAACAAATATTGGAATAACCCAGGCCATGACGCCGTACAAACGATCTGCTAAGGTCTAAAATGCATGCAATATTTGAAAACCGGGAATTAAAACTCTCCTGTTTACCTTCCCTTGAGTTCTGTAACTGAGTTTTAGCGGAACATCGACACACTGGGCTAAATTTGAGCGCAAACGCTCTCAAATTTGGTCAAATTACTCTTTTAAAACAACTCAAAACTTCCGAGCAAACAAATCTCAAAATAGAAAGTACCTTGTTTGTAGCAACAACAAAAGAACAAAATTCAAAATAATCATGGTTATTACCATCGTTTTTTCAAGAACGTTAAAAAACCGGTATAAATGTTTTAACGCAGAATGGAGCCAACTACGACGGTGACGGCAGCGAGCCTCCATTGAGCTTTTGCACTCGCGTTTTACTTTTTTAGTTTACTGGTAGTGCATCAAACTTGCAAGCAAGCTCTTGATTGAGTGGAGGGTGGTTTTGAGATAAGAGTCTGCTTGCAGCCTAAGCCGTCTACCTACTTTCCTTCATTTTGGCACACATCTCGTTTGACCTCAGTGAAATTAGACTGAGCTCGACTTCCCATCCGTGCTGTCTCAGGGCCAGTAGGGACCTCACGAAACTACGACGGCGACGGCAATGCCGGGAAACGCCTCAACACAATAGGCGCTTTTTTTGTCAATTTCTGTGCCGTCTACACAGCTACGACCTCAAATGACCAAATTTTCAGTTTACTTAAAAACGGGAACGGTAAGGCGAAAATCTCTGTCTGAATTCGGACCCGCTTATTGGAATAACCACGAAAAGGTTTGAAAGGATGTGAAGACAGTTTTTCTACGACGCTTTCTTCGGCAATGCCGTGGTCGGATGGTAAGGTCACTAGTCTATTTCTTGGGTGGCGGGTAGAGCTTGAGACAGACTAAACCTAAGGCGACAACTGTTACTTACCACGGCGACAGCACTTGACTCCATGACTTCCGCGGACGTTAGTACTGCCAAATAAGCGATATTTACTAGCACGTAACAGACCGTTACTAGGGGAATGCCAATTAAAATGGACAGCGGCAAGTCTCTGTAAGAAAACAATAAGAGTAGATCATATGAGGGTTTTGCATCCCCATCACACTTTCACTCAAACGGACGCGTAAGCCGCGAGCCGCCGGAAGCTCCAAACGTTTCACAGCGAACAAGAGTCACACGTCCACAAAACTCACGTTTTCGAGGGGTTGGGAGTGGGGAGAATAGATGCCTTTACAGGTTGAAATTAATGAAAACGGGAAGGCCATGATGCTGACGTTACTTCAAAGGCTAAATCGCTTGACAACGTAAGAAATGAATAGAAAATGGGTTCCTGCCAGAAACATCGCCTAACTGTATATGGTCAGTTAACTATGCATCTCAGTTGATCTGAGTTAATTATTTGTGTCTTTTAGGTTTATTTATTTAGATTATTTGATCTAGTAATTTATTCTTATTATATTACATTTTACACTGTATATTTATATCATTATGTATCAATAATCACAGGAGTTCAGGCTTCAGAAGTAATCATTGATTGTTTATTGCGACAGTGCTTTTTCGTATGGTCCGAAATTGTAGAACCACACTCATCAGGCAACTTCAACGATTGACCGTTAATGGAAGAAGCTGGTGCTGTATAAGTAACTGAATCATCATCATCATCATCATCATCACTCCTCTAATTATAATAATAATTATTATTAGTGTCTTACCGGTAAGGATTCTTCAGTTCTTCCGTGACGTAGTTCAAATTATTCCTGTACGTTAAAAAAGAAGTAAATTTATAAATAATGGTGAAGAAACAAACCAATTCAGCAAAACATACCGTACATCCTCAAATTTAGGGTAAGGCGTGGGAGAGGGCAAATATTGGAAGGGGCGCTTATTTGAGTAGAGGTGCTTATTTGATGAATCAATTTTTCGTGCAAACAACATGACCTAGGTATTAAAATACAAAGTTGTTCAGTAGTTTACAACGGAGACTGGCGCCAAGAGCATCCTAGCACCGCCAGCAGAAAAAGATTGGAGGACTGACTTACCAGCCATCATAGGCCCACAAACCATTGTAAAACGCAAATCCCACAAGACCAATTCTGCTTGTTGTACCGCTAAAGGAATTCTGAAAACTTTCTGTGTATCCTGTGTAAAGTAACACCAAGAGAAATCTTCAAATAAAGATGATAAACAACTTTTAAGCGGATGTTGTTTCAAAGCAGTTTTTAGCAGCAATGGATTTTTTAGTAGAATCTCTAGACTACAAGTAGACTGTCATTTACTTTGGGGATAAAAAAGAGAGCGAATTTTTTTAACACGCTTGCTGTAATGAATATCGCCATCCGCGAAAATGGTAGGGGGAGCAAAATACGCGAACGTATGGAAAAACGAAATTTGCCTCTACCCTTCGCGTTTCACCTTACTCGCAGGTGGCGATTTTTAAGCAAGCTTTCGTATTTTGCTCGCTCTATTATGCTTGAGGAACATTTCGTTCCTACCTAAACGAGCGCGCGAGGGTAAAGGGGAGAGAAGGCCTCTACTCTTTTCTCCGCTCTCATGTATGCGCGTCTTTAAAATTCCTCCCTTCGCCCTAAAGCCGGCGCCAGAGGTTTCTGAAATTCCCCGACTTTTCCCTGACAAATGTAAAATTTTCCTGACCAACTGAATTAACAATTTCACAAATTATGCTCCCCTCACAGCCATCCCTTCCACCCATTTATTTATACTTCCAGCAAGTCAAGTGCGGTGTACATGAATTTATAGTTCCTTAACATAACGTGCAAAAAGGATTAATTTTCCTGAAATCCAACATCAGCTTGTTGTTCAATTTCATGAACAACACTACCAAACACGATTCATGTGCGTAAAATGTACAAATGTACTCTTAAAATGTCACTTTTCCCTGACTTCTTTCAATCACTTCAATTTTCCCTGACTCGAAGTGAAATTTCCTGACTTTTCCCTGACCTGTGGCAACCATGAGTAATGTGTTTTCCCGCGCTTAACTTCCGCAAAAACGCTGCATGTTTAAACGCTTCATGCGATGTAAACAGTTCGCCTCGGTTATGTTTTTTCTAACCTTCGAACAGGAAATCGCAGATAAATCATCAAATTCGAGTAGGTTGAAACACATGGCACCAAATCTCAGTGAAATTGCCACTAGTTTGCGAGCACGAATTAAAATCGAAACTTACAGTCTTTTTAAAAATAATACCACAGAAAATCGGCTTTGTTTAAGAGCCCTTGTAAGAGCAACTGGTATCAGTATGATTCAGTGGAAAGAGGAGGTGATAAGATGCTAGTGTTGAGCACCCTTTGGAAATAAGGACCCAATTTTTGTCAAGGTGAATATTGCTCAAAACCGTGGATGATCTAGCACCGAAAAAGCTGGCAAATTCTCTCGTTGTGAGCTGTTAAAAAAAACTTAAATATAAGCATAACAGGGGCGGATCTAGGGGGAGGGTGCAGGTGGTGCGCACTCCGCCCCCCCCCCCCCCCGTAAACATAGTGTTTTTTCTAAGAACATGTTCTATATATAACAAACTAAAGGTAAATATTGCCCAAAACCGTGAATGCACTACAACAGAAAAAGCTGGAAAATTCTCTCGTTGTGAGCTTTTAAAAAAAACTTAAAAATAAGCATAACGGGGGGGGATCTGGGGGGGGGGGGCGGGGGGTGCCCCCCCCCCCCCCCCCCCGAGATGACCTGCTGTTTTCTAATACAACTGGTATTCTGCAAAAAAAACTATGTGGTTTATTGGTGTTGAAGTAGAGCAGGAGTGCACCCCCTCCTAAGAAAAATCCTGGATCCGCCCCTGCATAAAAGCGGTGACATCCTCACCTTGTCCAAGGCGAACAATACCAGTGATAATCAACATGACTATTGCCGCCATCTTGCAAACAGTGAATACGATTTGCATCCGCGAAGCCCACTTCACACTCGCACAATTCACAAACAGAATGATCGCTGCAATGAAAAGAAGTACAAATTTAAGTCGACTCAAACAAAGGCTGGTATTCTATAATCTCTATTGTTTTCATTACAGTAAGACTGAAAAGGGAACAAAGCGACAGAAAAAAAACTGTGTGAGTACTTATATTTTCCTCAGCGAGTGGTTTTTGTTGGGCAATGCCCAGCCTGCGTGGCAGGCGTTCGAAAAGGATGGGGAAGGGAATAAGGGCGCGAGATCGCGCCCGAGCGAGGAGGGAGGAGGGGAACCTTTCCTTTCTTTCTCGCACGCCCGCGCCCCCCGCACGCCCAAATTCCCCCTTCCCCTTTTAACGCCTGCCACTTAGGCTAGGAAATGCCAAAAAACTGCTTCCTGTCAAACACTGGCAATCAACACTTGTTAGTCGCAGAGGATGACCGGGACTTAAAAGTGTCGAAAGTTTGGAGCTTATCTCTAACCTACTAAAACTTTTGAACCGGATTTTAAATGTCTAGAATAGGCATTCACGTAAACAATTAACCCAGAAATTAACTCTAAAAGCTCTCCATGGAATTTCCTTGGGGATTATTCCTCTTTGATAACGGCACTTTTCTTTCCTGTGGGGGGAAATTGTCGATGGGAAAGAAAAATACCCAACTTAATGTCGTCCAGTAACGAAAGTCCATGCCTTCTTGGGCTTAACATAAACTTTTCAAGATGTTTTCTTCTTGTAAATTCTGAGGACACAAACTGACGTAAGATAAAATTCTCTCTAAACAGTGATAACACGTCGCAGGAATTGCGGTCGTTTCGCCCTGCGCCGTTTTTCCGGGACTTAAGTCAATTCGCCCGATGACATTCTACAACTCGGTGAGATGTTCTTTTAGTTAAGCTTGGATTCCACATGTGCAGTCCATATCTTCATGCTTATCCCTTTTTCCAGGCTTAAAAGAACGACAGACATCGAACAAATCGACTTAAGTACGGGCGAAACGACCTAATACCGCGTGGCAGACGTAATCTTGGTGCCGCCTGTGGTGCACGCTATGGCAGTCTAAAATGTCAGCCGTCTCCACCCCCCTGGAAATAGAACAGGCAGGCTCTCACCAATGCACAGGGAAGCCAATATCTTCACCAAAACGTCTAAGTCTGGTCGCTCCGAATCTTGACTGACACACGAGGGAAAAAAGGGCTCGGCGACATAACTTCCAAAAGCGAGAGCGATGATGGCCGTTTGCGCCGGCCTGAGAAGGACAACCGAAGTCCAACTGTACAGAAATGCGGGCAGCGCACCTAAACCTTCCAGGAGGTACACAAACTCGCCTCCAGATTTCGGAATCATGGTTCCCAACTCGCAATAACACAATGCACCGAGCATTGCGATAATACCGCATCCTGCCCACACTGATAAAGTCAAACCTACAGAGCCCGCCTGACTGAACACTCCACTGGCTGAAGCGAATATTCCGCTGCCAATCATTGTACCTACGATAAGAGAAATGCTTCCGCTAAGGCCGACTTGCTTCTCCAGCTGAAGAGCTTGAGTGGTGGCGGGATTTATTTTGCTCTCGTCGCCAATACAGTCGGCTTGACTTGCCAGTAAATCAGCCTGGCTTGTTGCGTCATGGTAGCTATGGTTTCTCATCCCATGTTCTTCCATTATGCCCAACTGCAAAGCCCAACTGGTAACTTTTGCAGGCGAGAAGGAGTCAAAGAACGCTGCTTTTTGCTATAAACATCGACTAGCTGTAACTGGTTAGGTGTCGCTTGGTTAATATTTTGCATTGTCGGGCTATCAACTGATTCCCTGCTGTTAAAGGAGAATACATTTTGGTATAACACAGACCCTCTGGGCTAGCCTCCCCCGCAGCACACACGTTCTTTCGGCTTGTCACGCAATCATCTTCGTGAGGCAGGAACGCGTGACGAACCCCCAAAAAACGTCTGCGTGGAAGGATGGTCGAGGGCGCCCGAGTATAGAAAAAAACCGAGGGAGATTTACTGACCGCAAACACAATGGAGTGTCGCCCTGGTTCTCACGCTCCGCGCGCGCTTTCGAATTGTCGATAAAAAGAAAAACGTCTGTGATCCAACACTGATTTGGATACTGTCAGGAGCTCCTGATACTGTTCACAACCAGAATTGTTTACTTCAAAAATCACTGAAGAAATGGTACTTCCAGCAATTAAATCACCGCCACATAATCAGAAAGTGGTTATGTTTTTTTCCTGTATGCGCACCTTTAGATTAGATAGCTTGCATAACACGCGCTTTATGAGCCAAGCGAGGCAAATAGGCATTTCGCGCGAACCATCCACGAGGCGAGGGGGAGGAGAAAAATCGCCTCGCAATTCGCGCGAAACGTAGCCTCCCCGCAGACGTCCTATAGGGTTCGTTTGTCACGCATTCATTTCTCCCCGTGGGGGAGAAATGAATGCGTGACAAACGAACCCCAAAGGACGTCTGCGGGGAGGCTACGCGAAACGCCGTGTTTGCCTCGCTTGGCTCATAAAGCGCCAGTTATGCAGGCTACAGATTAGATTGACACCAGAAAACCTGCTTTCCTTTTTATAAGAACCAATCGTAACCACGAGAAAAAACTGATGATAGCTTTAAATGCGGCTCCAAAACTGTAAATTTTAAGAGCAAAACCCGCAACACTGATTTTGAAAATGGTAAAGACCCCAATATCCCTCACTTAAAGGCACGATGAATCAGCAACAAAGGATATTATATTTCACTTGATGGTTGTGACCATACAAAGCACGGCTTTTGACAAAAAATTATAATAACTGGAGGTTACAAATTGTTAAGTACGACATTATGAGCAGATGAGGGGCAGTAAAATATCTTACAAACAAAATACATATTTTGATAATTACAAACAAATTTATTAATTGAGTTTAACTGGAAAAAACAAAACAAAACAAAACAAATTTGCCATTGCAAAATGATACATAATACACCTTGTTTTCGCCACAAAATTTTGCATACCCTTTGTTTTTTTGTTTGTTTTTTTTTTTCGTTTATCTTGGGTGCAGATGTCCCAAGAGAAATTGGAAGACAATGGTTTTGCGAAATTTTGGGGAAGTGTACTGTGGGAGATGAGCAAATGGCAAATTTCTATTAGTCTATGAGTAGTATGTAAACTTCTTAGTTCAAAACATTGTGAGGTGACAAATTGCAAGTATTTCTAAGAGAAAATGTACTGGGGGGAGTTATTGATCCAACCTTGAAAGATTTAGAGGGTTGTGGGTTGCGATAATTAAGGCTAGGTCAGCCTGGTATGGTATTTTTGGTTGGCCCTAAAGGGCTTGTCAATAAATTCGTTGGCGACCTTGTGTCATTGTTCTTCACTAACTCAGCCTTTCAGTGGTGCCTCTGCATGTTAACATCAAATTATTCTCATCGATAACACGTGACAAATTCAAAGAGTTGTCAAATAATTCATCAACCTGTCAAATATCTCAAGTTTCAGGATTTTTTGTACTTATTGCCTGCCGTGCGGATATGTACATTTATCAGTCGAGGCAGGCCAATCGATATCTCGCTGACTATAACTGAGACTTCTTACAAACAGACCGGCATTGGACAGGTGCTTGAAGAAAAAAAAGGCGATCTTACATTTCGATATCTGGACATTAAATCCCACACTGATTGAAAAAAAACTAAATTTGAATGGTATTAACGAATACCCTTACCTTAGTTACAAATAAAAAATACAACCCACCGCGCGCTTTAAGTTACCAAAACTAGCCAAAGTACATGGCGATCGAGGGAGAAAAGTATAGGACAAATTTGCAGTCGCATTAGTTTCACTTTCTTGAATGTTTTGGTTGACAAAACACGAATCGACGATTTTTACGAGCTGGAAAACGTTCTCGAAGAAAATATCGCAACATTCGACGCCTGGTGCGTGATGCAGTCAATGTGAGAATAGAAATTGAATCAATTTGCGCATTTATAACGACTAAAAAATTGCAAACGGAGTTTTTATTAAACATGCCGTTTTATGATAAATAAAGCTAAAATATTGAGCATTAGTACATGCTAAAATCGCTCAAAAGGGAGTAAAATTAGAAACCAATAACAGAGTTTTAAAGATGTTTCGAGGTTATAGCAAACACGACGAAACTGCCTGTCGTGCGCCTTAACACACCAACGAGATGTCGATGACATTCCCCCTCAGCTTGTCGTCAGAATGATTACACAACGTTCGTTTGCATTTTGTTTGTTTACACTGTTTTTTAACCAGGTAAAATAAGACAAAACGAAACAAGAGCCTCTGAGAAATTTGTTTTCGGTCCCCTCGTTTATTTTTGCAAATGTCAAAATTGCGCAATATCTTAATTTTTATGTTTTGTACTCACCTATCGCGATGGCTGCTAGGAGTTTCACGGCGGGCTGCAGGTTCTCGCGGTCACCACAGCCGGGAAAGATCGGCTCGATCACGTAGGCGCCAAACGCCAGACAGATAATAGCAACTTGTGAGGGCTTAAGCACAATGACAGAAGTCCATGAGTACAGAAAAGCCGGCAAAGCACCGAACCCTTCGAGCAAGTACACATATTCTGCACCTGACAAAGGTATCATTGTGCCCAACTCCGCGTAACTCAGTGCTCCAAATATCGCTAAAACACCGCACAGCGACCAAACAATTAGTGTCAGTCCAACAGACCCGCTGTTCTCCATCACATAGCGAGGAGATGCGAATATTCCCGAGCCAATCATAGTGCCAACGATCAGACATATTCCGCTTACAAGACCGAGCTTTCGTTCCAAACCGACAAACCCCCTTTCCTCCTGTCCTGTCCTCGAAGCATCACTATCATCCGCTAACAGGTTGTCTTCAGTCTTGTCCTTAGCTTCCCTCGACAAGTATTCATCGCTTCCCCAATGGTTGTTTAGCTTTTCGTTGCCGTTCTCCATCTTGCCAAGTTCACTGGCAAGTACAACTACAAAATTTTGCGCGGGATGCTAGCCTGCACGTGTGTACGTCCAGCTTATATTATGGAAATCAGGGGTCTCGAGGGTCACTCAAGAATCGGCAAAAATAATCGCACAAGTCGCAGACAGCCAATAGAAATTAGGACAAGCGAGAACAAGATTATTTCTTTTTATTATGACAGACAAAGCCACTTAATATATTTAAATTACGGCTCGTTGATCCATGTCCTATTCATTAACTAGAATTTGTTTTTGCTTGGCGGGAATTAGCTTAGGCGGGAAGATGCCTGAACAAAGGATGGGTCGCAATTCTTGAAAATAAATCACACGACATGTTGATTGAGCTCTTTTCATCAGCTCATTCATGTTTATCTTTTGCATAGCAGAGTACTGTACATAAAGTTTTCAAAATACCCGCAAAATACATTGATCAGGGATGTCAATTTCATCCCCTAGTATCTCACGAAGACACGAATACTTTTCAGCTGTCACGCAAATGCTGTCATTTTGCTGTAAAATTTCACATGCGATTGTTTCGACTTCTTTGACACCAGTAAGTTCGACAGTTGATAGGAGAAAGGAGTATTTTGATTTGAGTAGTTCGATGCCATTACGGTCGTCTTTGAATGTTATCGCATTTTTGGAAGGAGGCCTGAAACCAAAACAAGATCTTTGCCAAATTTTTTCATATGAGTGAAAACAATGGATTTTAAAAACGCAGAGACAAGTTATGGCAAATGATACTTCGCTTCCTTTTATACTTATCGTGGAAAACGAAAATCTGTTTTGGAGTACTATTCCAATCATAATCCAATTTCCAAAAGAGATGTAAAAATCTCTTTTGGAAGGCTATAGCCTGAGTATCAGGCCTTCCTAAGGGGCTAGGGGAGAGGAGATTTTAGATGGGGGAGGGGGGAGGGGGAGAAGCTCAGCTCTCTCCCTTTTTCGTTTCCATCTTTCCCCTTTTCCCCAGAAACGCCTGATACTCAGGCTAGGAAGGCCAGTAACTCAGTCGATCCAGTTTCAGTAGCCTGAGATCATGCCCTCACCCTCTATGTTTCTCAGGTTCTTTATTTTTGTTTTTTCTTTCCTTTTCTTTTCTTTTCACTTTTTCTGCAGTGGAATGCTTATACAATATTTTTCAGGAAACGTCCCTCGAACAAACGCTCACCTGGTCTGCTACACAGCCGTTTTAAGTGTCGTCACGCAACGCTCCTGCGTGACGACAATAAAAACGGCTGTGTAGCAGACTAACACTCACCCCGTCGACCAAAATGAGCTTGTCATAAGCTGTTTCCGGTGTCGTCACGCAACGCTCCCCCTTCCTTAACACCCGGCTCCCAAGAGGAGCGTTGCTGACAACACAAAAAGACTGCCCTGTCGTTTTAATACTTCTTTACGGACGTCACAAAAAGCCCGTTTTTTCACTTGACTGAATTTTTAAGTTTTAAAGAAATAAATAAAAAAGCAACCTCCTTTGGTATGATAAATTATTTGGTACCGTAGTCTACATTACATTCGCAGTATGAAAAGGGTCAAAGAAGTCATTTAGAAGTTTATCTTTTTAAAATAGTCCATCCAATAAAAATAGTTCTAATACGGTACACATCCGCTAATACATTATTAAACTTACTTGTTTTGAAGTCTGGCAAAGTGGGTTCTTGTATTTTGGGGTACTTACTGGCAAGTTAGTCTAAATCAGGATGTCCTGTCTAAATAGCATGGGCCAATAGAGCCAGCATACTGGACCCTTGAGGTTCAAATCCACGGCGCATCCGATAGTCTAACCGTATCGTTTCCACTTATCCACCAGCTGGTTCAAACAGTTTCAAACAATTTTCAACAATCACGGAAATCAGAAAGGAAATTAAATCACGCATCACGCATTATGAAAATTGTCTACCACGCATCACGTGCTATGCCCAGTCACGCCTCACGCAGTTAGGCCCGATCACGCATCACGCTGATAATTTGGGACACAACACGCGTCACGGAAAACCCCTTTGCCACCCGGTTCAAACACAGTGCACCTGTTTACAGGCTGATACCGTGGCTGGTACCCATAAAAGACAATGGCGCGCGGGAGACTTATTATTTGAAAATTGATTTAATACCACTATAAAAAAGGAGTCGTAATTTTAACATCTCCTTGCAGTGACGGTTGTTTTGGCTCAGCAAAACACCAAACAGCACGAGTGAATCGAGGTCCAGTTCAATTACCCGCCATAAATTAAGATTCCAATGGACACAGCTCGGATATGTCGAAACTTGTACGGCGATCGCATTTTGATCTGTTTCTGCGAATTAGGAGCAATCACCTTCAATTCCGGATACGACCAGGAAATTTTTGGAATGATATTGTGAGTGTATTTCCTCTCGAAAGTGCGATCGGGATGAACTTGAAATAGAGGGAGGATTATTTCCGAGTTTGGTACGAAGACATTCTAATCAATGATCGGCTAACTTCGGAAATTCTTCGCCACGGAAGAACCAATTCTCTGCCCAGTTTCTCACGGACGAAAATATTGGCAGCTGGGCAAAAATGGCGGATCTTTAACCTTTGTATGAGTAAAGGAATCTTTCGGCTTCTATTCGGGCCACGGAGAACTCCCTCCAATAGGGAGCAAACAGAACGTTGGAAGGAAAATGGCTACTAGAAATCTAACGGAGATTTATATCAATCTTCGCACTGAAATTAGTCGTTTCAAGGCCTATTCACTCGGTGACTCCGTACGTAGTGATAGCCCTGGGGTACTGTACTGACATATACTGCCACAAAACATACACTGTTTGTTTTATGTCGTACCAGATGGAGAACTTTCCTGATGATGATTTGTTTTGATTTAATTTAACCAGGACGATGACACAGTAGCACTCGTTCGAAGAACAAGCGATCTCGAACTTGGCGTTCAAACGGGAGGAATAAGCTCCTTACCTCCGCAATGGTGGGTATGATTTCTTGGTAATCGTCTAATTTAGAGTGTGAGGATGATGTTTTTTCTAAAATAAAATTAACTTCTGAAATAGAAATTTGTTTGTCAATATAGCTATATTCAAGATACGAGACTGTATGATCTAGTAACCTATGATTAAATGCACGTATGTTAAAATACAATGCATGGATTATTATTTTTGATTAAAAAGTTAGTCTTTGAATGATGAAAACTTCTGCATCGCTTAAGCCTTGTTTCCCACAATCGTTTTTTATTAAGCCAAAGTTCTAAAATATTGAATGGCAAAACCACAGCTACTTTCAACTATTGTTTATCAGGAAATGAACAAAAAACAAACACAAAAAAACAAGCCAATAATTATGTTCTTAGCTGCTGTGTATGTAAACTTTCGTTTTGATTTGTGTTAGATTATGGGAATGAATCTGAGACAGGGACCATAAAATTGGCTGGCTTGAAATTTTTCGGTTCAAAGACAGTTTTCCAACTTAGATTTGTCTTTTGCTCAGTAGATATTCCAAAGCATTCTAATTCACTTCTTTTAATTTTCCAGGGTTGATGTTGTGGAAGAGGTAGGTATAAGCTATAGTTTCACAAGTTTTTAACTCGCCCAAAAATTTACAGTAGAACCCGGGTAACTCGAACTCTGAAGAGAAACAAAAAACAGTTCAAGTTAGCGGGGGTTCAAGTTATAGGGATCTACTGAATTGTCAATCTTCTGTGTAAATATTGCTAGTTTACTGATATTTCAGCACTTCAGTATACAGCAGAGTGGAAATTAAATTTATATCATTAGAAATTGTGACACATCTAGACTATACAGAAATATTTTACTGCATGAAAAAAATAAGTTAACCAGAACAGACAGCAAACAGCTTATAAGAGAAAACAACCCTCAAAACCTATCACGATACACGGGCCTTATTCAACCGAGACTGTTAGTAAATATGATCAATAAACAGTAATCTATTATTTATAGTCAACATAAAATGCATTGTGGCACAAGATAAAAGTATTTATACATTTCAAGATTCTTTCCTTTTATTTTGTCACGTTTCTTCAACTTATTAAAAAACGAATTACACATGTAGTTTGTTTGCATTTTGTGACCTTGAAAAGTTTAAAGATTACTCACATCCATTAGCGCGTACATCAAAAAATGTAAATAGATCAATGGTCGATAACAGATTTTTTACCATAATATGAGTTTGGTTCAAAGTACTGAAGAACACAAACTTAAAATTGTTTTTTGCTTAAAAGCGATTCATCTTGAAACTCAATAATTGACATTTTTATAGTGAAAACCCTATGCATACTTTACCTTCTCACTCTTACAGTGTACGTATACAGAACACCTTCAGTAAAATACGAGTTGTGTATAATCAGTGTCATGTGTGAGTGAAATTAATTTATATGGTATTTTTTAAAGGTCCCATTTTCAATGGCTTTTAGTTTACACCTCAATGAAAGTTATGTCTGTTAAAGCAAGCTGTGAACTTTCAAAGTTTATTGAAACTCGCTAATGCTAACATCAAACGAGCTTGTTGAACAGGGCGCAGAGACACAGAAATTAGGAGAAGCATAACACTTGATCATGCACAAATTTAATGATGCAGTTACAAACAAAAGCAAAAACTCTGGGCCACATTAAGAACAATACTGTAAGCTCTAGTATGCTAAGTCACCAAACCTTGTACCCAACTTGTAGTAACTTGCCTCAGTACTTTATTTCTCTCAAATTAGTACACCTGTACTTAAAGCTCCTGGTGAAGCTTTGTATTCTGGAAGCTTTGTTGCTCATTTGCCCTCTTGCTAATAAGGCTATGAGATGAACTTGTGTGCAAATTTCTCAAAGTTCCTGTTTTGGCTGGACAAGTATTCTTCATCCTAATCTGAAATTTAGACCTCCAAAAAGACATGTGTTATGTTAAACAGAAATAAATAAATCTTTAAACAGACTCTTTGAAGATGGACAAACATGTTTTATGGATCAAGCAATGCCCTCTGGGTTACTAGGTTGATAATTAAAAGTGTTCATTTTTTAATGTAGGAGACCGAAAAAATCCAAAATCAAATTTATGAACTGGGCAAGCCTTGAGGCAGCCCAGTTAAAAATTTAATGGGATGGCATTTGTGGTAAGTTGCAAGAACCAGAATTTGAGTCATCAATGTAAATTTTGATGAAGGAAAACAAGTATTATTATTTTTAGTTCGAGTTAGCGGGGAATTTGAGTTACCCAAGTAAAAGTGACTGAAGAGTTGGGTCAAATCCAAGGGAAGTGAGACTGGAGTTAGCAGGGAACATGAGTTATCCAAGTTCAAGTTACCAGGGTCCTACTGTATATTTTTAATTTTTATTTCCTCTTGTAGAGTGTCAAGGTTTGAATTTATCAATTCCTTTCTTCTTTTTTACGTAGATTCAATATGAAATTACAAGGATAAAGCAAAGAAGTAAGTTTAAGCTTAGTTTAAATTGCTCTAGGCAGTATATTAGATTCTATATCAGGGTTTTCATCAAGAATTCTGGTAGCAGGAGAAACGTGTAACATTACAGGAGAATATTTTAAAAGAGGCTCCTCATATAAATAAAAATAGTCGTAACAGGGTTGTCAAAAGTAGTCAGCTGCCGTCGAAAAATATCGCCGCCTTCTTGGTTAGTATCGGCCGGCTACTCTTCTTAGCATTTCTTTACAAATGGCATTTTTAAATAACATAACTCTGGACTGGCCGCTTACTTCAACAACTCAGCCGTCTACTTCAAAACTTTCTAACAACCCTGTATAGGCTACCGAACATTAGCTGGAGAATTTTGTGTAGTAAACTGAGAATTCCCCAATCTCTGATGCCTAATGATCACCCTGCTATGTGTTTGTTTTTAACAGTTTGTTTTCTGATGTGTCATCACTTTTATAGTGTTACAGCTATGAGAATTTTGAAATATTCCTCCAAACTGTTACTGATTTTTTTTTATTTTTATGGTAATTACTTGAGTATCGAAAATGTTCTAATAGGAGAAAAAGGGAAAAGGTTATTGAAGATTGGAATCATTTTTTTTAGTGCAAGAGTTGTCAACTCTTCATGATCGACACCTGAACAGACCAACGCTTGATGACAGTGTGGATGAAGAACAGACAATAGAAATAACCACGAAAGAAATCACTCAGGTTTGTACTTCAGCCTTATGCTAATGAATACTGTTTTTAGACAGGTGCAATTAAGGAAGAGAGGAGGTTTTCCTGGGGTGTACTCCCTATAATGCCATTTATGACGAGGCTCCACCCCAAAGGGCGGGGATTTCACTGGTGGAAGTATATAAAAGGGCAGGAACATTTATCATTTTGATCTGTTAAAGGACCCAGTAGGGCTAACAGATGCATTTATGGCTGTGAAAAAGTCAAGAAAACTTTCTAGTTTTGTGATTTATTCATATTTAAAGTTAGTGCATTTTAGCCTATAGAAGGGATCAGAGTTCTAAATTAGGTTTGTAAAGGGAGTACCATCTCTCAATAGAAATTTTGTGAAAGGGATACCTTTTTTTGTCAGAAATGGTATGTAAAAGGGAAGCAGGTTGGACCTTGGTGTGGGACTTCTTGGTATATATTCCCGTATATAATTATGTAACTTTGTTGAGTTCCCGATTCAGGGGACAGTATGTAGTATTACTCTTGGCTGCACCATGCTATGGAAACGTTGATGAAATTTAGACAGTTGGCTTATTCAACAAAATTATATTTAACTTTTCGCTCCTACTAACAGCCAATGTAAACAAATTGACAAAAATTCCGAAAAAAATTTTTTTGTAAGGAATTATAATAGCAACATGCAAATGTCATACCAGAGAGGTTTTAGAGAATTACTTGACATCTGATTGCCATACAAACACTTTCAGTAATTTCTCTTGCATTTACCTTACTGACTAAAAAACTGAAAACCACATGATTTGCATTTCTTTTATTGTTAGATGTTCCATCAGTGTCAAGGTTCCATTCAAAGAATAGGGAGGCAAAGTAGAGGCACTTCAAAGCAAGAACAACGTCTTCTCAAAAATGTCATGTCATCACTAGCTGTCAGTCTACAGGATCTGTCCCTGAACTTCAGGAGAGGACAGTCATCATATTTGAAAAGTGAGTATTGCAGATGTCACTGGGTTTGGTTATTTTGTGGTTTAGTGCACCCTAGAACCCGAAATTCTTATTACCCTTGGTTGCATCTAAGCATGGACATGAGACCAAAAAACATGTTCTAATAGGGTGCCAGACATGACCTGTTTTGCCACCAAACATTTGAAGTGTGACAGCTGTTAAAGCAAACTGTCGCCCCACAGGTTAAGTTGTTTACATGTTTTTGATCAGCACGTTCCTTTCATCTTTTATTTTTCTCAAGTTTCATTAATATTTCTTGCTCAGAAACAGCACACTTGCTTTTAAGAATTATTCTTTGGAGATTTGCAACTCTCTAAATTCGATAAACAGCTACCTACTTTACACGTGAACATTAGTCCAATGTCACCCCAAACTTCAACAGTTTGGCGGCGAAACGTGTCTTGTTTTCATCCGATTAGAACATGTTTGTATACTATTGCTACCCTAAAATAAGGACTCCTTATGTTTACTGTTCCCTTTCACAACAAGAATTTGCCTAAAGTGAGAGTTTAGTGAGAGTGAGAGTATAGTGTGTATACTGTAGTGAGAGCTTGACATGATTTTTGTAGCAAGAAATACAATGTAAATGACAGTGTTACTCTGGATTATTTCATCATTACAGTGTGTTTAATAATACTGTTCCAGTTTTAAAAAAAACATTATGGAAAGTTGAGACCTTCAACTCTTTTGTACTGGCCTCCAGTTTGGAATTCAAAATGTACTGTTGCATTTCTGCATAACTTCCATCATCATCCATTATTGTGTTGTTCCAGAAAATATTCATACTCCCCGCAAGGATGTATTTTGGTTTAAATGCCCCCACCCCTCTGGAAATTTCAGTTTAGTTTCATACCTTCCTTTAAAAAATATTTTAGCCTTTAAGACCCCCCTCCCCTTTGCAATTTCCAGTGACCATCCTTGGGGTGGGTATGGATATTTTCTTGAACCACACATTTTAAGGTTGACACACTGATTCATTTAGATACGTGCTGGTAACGCTTTAGCGAATTTCCCTTTTTAGGACTGAAGAATCGAGAAGAGAGGGAAAGACAGTATTTTGACACTGGTCTTCCAGCTACCAGCAGTGCACTCATGAATGAAGATGTTGTTGAGGATGATGAACTTTATGATAGAGTGAGTGATCTTCTTCATTTAACCAACCACACACAGCTGTAGTGCCAAATGATCTCAATTCAGTCATGCGCAAGTTGCAATGTCTCATTAGAGCTGTCAGTTGATGGTTATAATAATGTTTACAATATTTTGAGCTGGCATGAATAATATTTTGTGAGCGCTGTTGAAGCTCTTGTGAGCAAACATCCCTGGGAATTGGATGAGGGAATCATTCTTGCATACAGCCTATTGCATTACAAAGGATAAGAAAGTACATCTACATATGCAACTTAATTGTCTTTGACTGCTGATAAAAATACTAACTAAGACATTAATTAAATGGGAGTGTAAATGGTGTTTTGTAAACTATGGTAGCTGTAAGTAGGGATGTCTACTTACAGGAGCTTTGAGTTTATGGCTCTATTGGCGCTGGTGTTTCATGGGAGGACCCCTTCACCATTCCGTTCATGTATGCTTTATTAGCTGGTTATAACATTTGTGTCTGTGGAGCTAATCCTGAAATGTGACAATTCAAATAAAATCTTTTCTGCAGTACTCTTACATGTATGTGGTACTTTTTGTCTGCTTTATATAAGCTTGTTTTACCTTTCTGTCTTTGGGCAACTTATTCTTTGTGTTTGCATTGACCACTTATGCATGAGTTTGATATTTTGGCAGGGAACTGTGCCATTTTAACATTGTTTTATATTTCATGTTGTTTGTTAACAGGGATTTACTTCTGATCAGATGAGGCTGGTTGAAGACAATTCAGCTTTAATTGAGCATAGGGAGAAAGAAATACAGTCAATAGTGCAATCAATATCAGAACTAAATGAAATATTCCGAGACCTTGCTACTATGATAGTAGAGCAGGTAACTAAAGAATGTTATTTGTCCTTTACAGGGTCCTAAGGGTCATGGAAAACCTGGAAAGTCATAAAATTTTAGAATTTCATTTTCCAGGCCTGGAAAGTCTTGTATTCTAATTGTCAGTCCTGGAAAGTCATGGGATATTAAAGTTATGTTTGATAAATTAGTTACTACAGATGTCCAAGCAAGGACAATGCAAGATAGAGTCAAGAAATTAAAAAGCTGAAGTAGCATGCATTTTGGTGAAAAACAGATTTTGTGTTTGTTGAACTTAGTTAGGCCAAAAAATAACCTGAAAAGGAAAAATTTTCCAGTGACAGCTTAACACCGGGTCATGGAAAAGTTGAAAAGTTATGGAAAAATTCATGGAAAGTCATAGAATTTGAGGAGCTCAAAAGAGTACTTACCCTGCTTTAAAAATTTCTTCTTTATCTATGAAGCTTCAAGAATAGTTTTCTGAAAGCTGAATGTTTGAATCTTGTTTCTTTTTCAGTGGACCATGAACTAAATCACTTCATTGGATTGATCCTTCTTGCTCATTCTTTCCACAGGGAACTATTTTGGATAGAATAGATTACAATGTAGAACAAGCTGCTGTTAAAGTGGAAGAAGGCCTAGAACAACTTAGAAAGGTCAGTACTTGTTGGAAGAGGCAGTGGTATTTTCAAAGATCATTTTTAAGTATTTGCGCTTTTCTCTCATTTGTTAAGTTTTAGTCCTTATCGAAAAGAAAAGAGTTTTTTCTGCATTCAATTTTCTGCTCTCTTGGGCCTTTTCCATTAAAAAAAAGGAATGGTGTCATTTCAGATTAATTGTTGTAAATGTTATTGTTTGACACCAAGAAGTCCCAGGAGGCAAAAACCAGGCCTAAACAAAGATTTTTCTGTTCATGCCAATAAACTCAAAAAGCCAGTTTAATCCCCAAAAAACCACTACATGATTTCTAAACCACGAAGGATGTTTCCACCTCCCTATCACCATAAACCAGAGACCCCTCCCCACTCCTTTGTGCTGGGATAAGATTCCCTAGACCATCTGGAACCTCTGGAAAATGGTTGGACATTCTCCCCAGCTGAACTAGAGCAACTAATTAAATCATATAATTATATATTTGTCTTGTTTGCAGGGCGAGAAGCACCAGAAAGCATCTCGGAAGATGTTATGTATAATATTTTTAGCTATTGTTGTAATAATAATGCTTCTAGCTCTGGTAATAACAAAAGCCAAATGATAAGCAATATATTGATTATTGAGTAATAATCTATTTAGGTTGTTTCATATTAATTTGTATATTTGATAAGAAATGAATTAAATTAGGAGGAACATTTTTATCACTCAAGTTTTTTTAATGTTAAACTTTACTTGTGTTTGGTTGAAGTAAAGTTTGGTTTAGAAATTCTGCTTTTTTCATCAGAGTTTTGGAATTATGTTCAGCAAACAGTGAAGTTGTCTGAAATATCTTTCATCTCCACCCCCTATTAACCCGTGGAGGGTGCGGGGGAGAGAGACATCTGAACTCCAAGCGTTGAAATGTTGTCTGGTGAGATCAACTACTTTTGCAATTATGATAGGTATTTTCTCATTGGCTATAACCTTTCTGAAAAAGAAAACCTTTTGTTATTGGCCAAACACACTAAGGAAAACATCCAGTTTGAAATAGCATTTGAAATGTGACCTTAGAGTTAGCCTTTCTTGACAAAGCGAAAACTTATACCACAGTAGTAACTGACGAGGAACCTTTTAATTCCAAAACTGCAGTCTCACTTTAGGCATTTGTAACAAAAAATGCACTACCAGTACAGTAACTCCAAGTCCAAGGTCATGTTTCACACTGTACATTAAATGTACAGAGTCATTTAATTATTCAGGAGGCCTTATTGTCAAGCTTTATGGCACTCAAAACACAGAAAACTTCATATCGACCATATGCATGCTGCTGTTCACTGTTCCATGACTTATGGCTGCCAACTTGTTAAGCAATCTAAATTTATGCAAAAATGCATAAATTACTTGGTGGCGTCATTGAACGGCATAATTATTTTTAATGCTCAGAATTCAGACGTCTCTTTCCTCTGTGCCCTCCACGGGTTAGGAGGAGGATGTGTGACATTTCAGACTAATACTTAAGTTTTGCAGTCTTTTTTAGTGAGTTTCTTTTTTTTATCAGTCAGTCTTAGCAGTATCACCTTCACCACCATCTCCCCACCCCCTTACAATACTATGACAAAACAAAGCAAAGACACGGATGAGAGGACCATATCCTGGCCCTTTTTCATTATTTGAAGCGATTTATGGAATAAGTTTCTAAATTACTCTGATCAAATTTTAAATTTTTCCTTTGATTTACAAAAAGATGCAAGGCAGATTATATGAAAATATTATCTAATCTAATCTAGCAGTTTATTAAAAGAAACTTGAGGCTATACTTTGGGCACTACCTTGATTCGGTCACTTGTGCAATCTCAGGAACTGGCTTCTAGTCCTGGCAGAAGAAACGGTTTCTGCAGAAATTGTCAACTGTGATGCAATGGACATCATAATCTTAAATGATTGTATCAAACCAGCCAATACAAATCTAAGAAACATTTTTAAAAATGAAATAACTAATGAAGATGGGTGATTGGTTTCCCTGTTCATAGCATCTGCACAGTGGGAAATAATGCAGAAAAAATCTACTCTTCCCTGATGGATAGCATGCTAAGAATTTTTACTGGTGGAGCTGGGCTGGTAGGGATTGATGGCACAGGAAAACTGGAAGAGGAGTCTAGTAGTCTAGGAAATCTAGGCAGGGGTGGGAGGGGAACTAAAAAAATCAGGGCAAGTGGAATTTTCTGGGGAAAAAAAAGAGCCCAACAGCCTCTATAGTATTTACACACTAAAAATCTGTTATATTGAAATTATTGTAAGTTGTTGCTTACAGCTGCAGGTAATACCAGTAATTTTTGTGTACATGCAGAATGTTCATCTAAGGTCGAAACCATGTTTCAGCCATTAAGTCAGTAATAATTTCTTCATGTTGTACTAATTTAAATCAGCATGATATTCAAAAATGCATTAAAGATTATTTTTCACTTATGAGACTGAGTTCAACGAAATTTTTTTAAGGGAGCTTGTCAAATTTCTGTTAGAAAAGGGCCAAATAATTTATTCACAATAATAATTTATTATTATTATTATTATTATTATTATTATTATTATTATTGTTATTATCATTATTATCATCATCATCATTGTCATTATCCAATAAAACAGAGGGTTTCCCTGGGGAAACAAAGTCCAGTCAAGTCTCAACCAGAGACCTCAGACTCCTATCACCTTTCTAAGGATATGTGCTGATATCAAAGAAGTGCAGAAATTTGCATTCATCACCATAGGAACGAGAAAGAAACTGGAGCCGAAACTGGAGTGTTGACTGTTACAGGGGACGTTCCAGTCAGTTATTTCCTATTGCCTGTGTCCCTAGTAACAATCCGAAAGTTAACTTGGTCTTAATCCCTCTTGTTTCTAAAGTGGTGAATTATTATTGTCTGTTTTGTTTTATTATCATTTTGTCATACAAGTTAAATATATATACATGGAATTTAAAAAAAAAGATGAGGCAAGGGAGCCCAAGGAAGCCAATAAGGCTTATGAATAGGACCACCTTTAAATAAAAGTAGAAATGGCTGAACGTGCAAGTGCAAAAACAAAAAAGAAAAAGGGGAGAAAAAAATAATGCAAGATTGTACGAGGAAAAGAAGCAAAACACTACACACAAACATTAAGGGAACTAAAGTGTTCTTATACCAAGAAAAATGACTTTAGTTTAGAAGTGAACATAGCAATAATATAGTGTGGAAATAGGCTCTAAATACAATGAAATTGTTCTTTTCATGTCTGGGATTCCCAACTGCTTTAACTGAGCTGTCGTCTTTGACACTGATCCAATGCCCCCACCGCCACTGGCACAACTCTCGTCTTTGTATTCCACAAACTCTTGCCATGTCTTGATGCAGAAAAACCTTTCAGTTTTTTCCCAATATTTTTTTTTTAACAATTTACTAATTCAGGTCAGTTGGGCACAAAATATTTCGAATTTAAAAAGAAAAATATCCACTTAAATATTGTAGAGGGTGAAAAAAAGAAGATTCGCTCGCCCGATGAGGGACTTGAACCCGCGACCCTCAGATTAAAAGTCTGATGCTCTACCGACTGAGCTAACCGGGCGCGCTCTAAGAATGGGGAAAATTTTTCACTCCTTATTTGTAAACAGAGAATAAGAAACACCATTGAAAAATATCGCCTCGTTTTGATGCGGAGCCACAGTGCCATTTTCTGTTTGATAGCAATTGTAGTTTATGTAGTTAAAATGCATCTTATGTACTATCTCGACGACAAAGGGAAGCGAGTTTACACTTTGAAGGTAAGCTTAAGAGCAGATCAAACTTTTGTTAAGGTTTTTAAAGACTTTTTTAACGTGATTTCCATCAAGTGTATACAGCTGAGTCCACGTGCGTAGAGGTCACTCAAATCATAAGTTTACTCTATTCGCAAAATGACTCGAAAACGATTATTCTTCTTTGATTTGCAGAAGATCGATCCTTCAGGCCACCCGACAAAGTCTGCTCATCCAGGTGTTGTCATCTTTTCCCTTTTTTATAATCGCAGCGCATGGAAGAACGAACGTTTAGAAGCCATTCTTATCCCGGCTTGGGTAAAACCGGATAAAGAATGGCTTCTAAACCTCTAAACAGCGTTTACATAGTACAATTCAGGAAGAAACCAGAACATTTCGGAGTAAGAGCTAACGTTGACATGGTTTGGCCAACTCTAGCGCACACTGTTGGGACCTCAAGTCTGAGTGTCCTCATTAGGGAGAGTAGGATTTATCGGCGTGTCCATTATAGCGAGCTGTCCCCGAGAATTGACTGTACCTAGTGTACTGCTGCCTGCTAGTGGATATTGTCGATATTTAGGCTATGTTGACACTGTACCAGAAAGCTTCGGTTTTGGCCAGCACAAAAACCATACCGGCTAGGGCTTCTGCTCTCACATAATTTCGGCACGGGTCCTGTAACAGAGTGACGCTGCACTGTGCTATCACTAAAGTGGAGACCTGAGAGTCACATTTTGGCTTAGCCTGCAATTATATAGCGTCTCTCCTCGCTCATGGCTGGTAGGGACGTTTCACAGGGGAGGTGTCTGTGTTGTGGTTCAATTTTGTCCTTGGTTTAAATTTTATTTTCTTTTGTTTTAAACTCATTATCATACCTTAACATACCTAAAAACAAAAGAAAATAAAATTTAAACCAAGGATAAAATTGAACCACAACATCTGCACTTTAGCAACAGAAATTTGATACTGATAAGGTAAAATCAATCCAGAATTTAGTCAGGAGCTCTGATTGGCTAATGTTGTAGTTATATTGTTTTTGCTATTATTTATGAAGACAAAAGATAAAAGGCCATAAAGGTCAAATGTAAACGCGATGAATCTGCTACAAAATAGTCAATATTCTTGGAATATATTCTTCTTAGAAGAAGCATTTGAGTTTGCTGGAGCTTGTTTGCAGAAGAATACTTTACCATAATTGAGCAGGAGAAACAAAAAATCAAACAAATTTACATTTGGAGCCCTACAAAAATGGCTATTGGATTAATTATGTGGAATTTCTCTCGCTGAGGCACAGATGTATATGTATATGGGGTGGCAAGTGACTCAAAGGGATGTCAAAAATTCAGGCTACTCCCTCCATTTGCATTTCTGGTTGCTTACCTCCGAAAAATTGACCTATTTTGGTGAGCTTATAAAAGGCAACACTCCAGCTCTCATTCAGGGGAATGCACATTCAGAACTCAGCTGTAAGAGTGTTACCCTGGGCACCAAAGTTTTGCCTGCTATTAAGTTTAGAACAATATGGTATTATTGTGTTCAATTATCACCCTGCTACTTTTACAGTGATCCATGCTACGGTGGCAAAATACCTCTTTAAAACTATGCTGAAACTTGGAGACAGAGCCTTTATGGCTGTGGCTCTAAAGCTCTTGAATATTTTGGTCCATGATATTAGAACTACCACAGATTTTACCTTATTTAAACAAGTCTGTACTTTTTAAGCAAGCTTATGGGTAAGGCCAGGATTGTTCATTATTTGATTTTAATTCTTTGTAAGTACATCATAGATGGCTAAATTTATTTGTATACATTAGTTATTCCAGTATTTTATTGTAAGGTGCATTTTAAAACTTTGTTAAAAGAGCGTTTAAGCTCCACGTATACAGCAGATAGCAATCGTCAGATTCAAGTGAGAATTTCTCAAAATAGAAAATGAGCAGATAAAAACACCTCAAAATGATTCTTATGGACAAAAAAATCACGTGAAACTGCCAGTTTATGTGTTGAAATAATGGTACGTCAAGTGGAAACTTGGTCATGTGACACAAATTCGCATTTTTACTACCTGAGTAGTAAACTCAGTAAGCGATCAGATACACACCACTACAACACGAGGAAAAGGGACAATCTAAATCTCCCTCTATGCAGAACAGTTACCACGCAACGGTCATTTTTCTATCGCGCTGTAAGTGCTTGGAACTCTCTGACCTCAGACACTAGAAATAGCCCGTCACTATGTACCTTTAAGAGGATCGTCAAACACGAATTGCGGGTGCAGACCCCATGCATTAAATAGTTAATATTTGATTTAGTTTAGATCTCCAAAGAGATAACGTAATTGCACGTGCATAGTTTAAGGCTTTTATTTTTGTACCAAGCTTTTTTCTTCTTATCCCCTTCTTTTTAGCATTTGTAAATTAACTTCAGAATAGCCCTGAGGGAGAGTTAATAAAATTATTGTATTATATTGTATTGTATTTGCCGTGATGTAAATGTGATAATTTGTGCATTACAAACAAATATTTTCCTGCCAGCAGAGGCCTCTTTTCCCTGGTAATCCAATTTTGAAATATAATACTGTATATATATATATATTTTTAAAAGGTTGGACACAGCCGTCAGCCATTCACTATGTTGTATTTTTCAGCACGCTTTTCACCAGATGACAAGTATTCCCGGCACAGAGTGACCCTAAAAAGAAGATTTGGCATCTTACCTACTCAACAACCTAAGCCTGTTTACTAAGAGGTGCAGAAGGAACTTGAAGTTCAGGAATGTACATGTACAGCTACAAATGTAACCTGTTTTGAAATTGACTGTTACACTTTGATTGGACTGGTTGTGAATATGATCACTATTATTTTCTAATTCTTCACCTGGAGCGAAGATGAAGCATTATTGAAAACCACTTTCTTCAAAATTATTATCATCGCCATTGAACATTGTCATCATCATCATCGTCGTCATCATCATCATCGTCATCATCAGTCCAGTCTTATTTTAAGTTCTGTATTTATTTCAGTTGTTGCAGCAATGTTGTCTATTTTCATGTTTGTTGTTTTACTGAACAGATGTATATAAGGGAATGTAACAGTCCAGCTGACATCAGAGAGTTTAGTCTTTTAGCAACAATCATGGTGGGACTGAAATATGTTGAGTAAGCAAGCATTACTTTCCTTGTGCATCATGCTTTTAGGTACATTTATCACTTAATGGCTTTTATACCCATTAAACACTCAGAAATTTCAATTCTTACTTTGAAATGGTTTATCCTGAAATAAGAGAGGTTATTGAAATCATTTTTTTCTTCATTATACTCGATGTTTCTCACAATTCGCGCTCAATCTCGAATCAGTTCAGGAGTACCTTATTTACTCGATTAACCGCCCTTTGCGCTTATTAAATTTTCGGACCTCGAAAGTGGGCGCTTATTAAATTTTCACCATTTTCAGCCAGTGTAGTATGTTTATTTTGAATAAAATTCCAACATTCTTGAAGACCATGAATCTAGAGAGTGTAAGCCAGTGAATAAATAATAATCAATACTACTCTCGTCACTTAATGCTTGGGGGTAGGCGCTTATTAACTTTTTCTGCCTTTAGGATGGGCGCTTATTGGAGGTGGGCGCTAATTCGAGGTTGGGCGCTTATTCGAATAAATACGGTATGTTAGTTTTGGAAGTACCCTGCGAGCAGTGGTTTCTCCAGGCCGGACGCTACGCTTCGATGGGAAAGAAAGCACTGCGAGCAACCGTTTGCTTTTCCATCGAGCATGCGCGTCCACGTGATGACTACGAATATGCAACGACAAGACGGCAACGAGAACTTCAACACTTTAAATAAATTCGCGCGTTTTTTCCAACTTCGTCGCGTTTATTTCAATCTGCTGAAAATGTCATAGTCTATTCAAAAATTTGTTGGACCCGTGTAAACGAGGTCTCAGTATGCAGCTATATTCGAGCAAGTTTGTCAGAAAAAATGTGCACGCGACAATCCTGAAATTTTATATTGGATATGATCAATACACTGTTCCTGACACTGTAGCTGTCGAAACTACTTTTGTTTCTTTCCTTTAGCACTCGCAAACATATTTCCACGGCCTCTTGTGCCATTCTTTCATATTTCTTTGAAGAATAGTGGACTCATAACCACCCACAATACATTTCGGGATTGTCGCGTGCAGTTTTCCGCTGCGCGCAGTTACTATTTATAGGCCAGAAACTCAGACAAACAAACTGAAATTAACATTAACGAATTTCTCACTTTTGTCTGACTTTTGTCATTAAAATGTCATGTTTGTCTGTCTTTTGTCATTAAAATGACAAAACTAGGACAAAAATTGCAAATTAGTCCCTCTCACGTCATTCGCGCGAGAAAGTGCGTGCATGCGTGCACTTATCAAGTATTCTTATAGACCCGCCGTCAACCAATGAGAGTGCGGTTATTGTAAAATACCACGACAAGTGATGCGCAGATGATGCGTAAATGCCGTTACTTATTACAAGGCAGGGGTGCATATTTTACGAAGTCCATTCGACAATAGCACAACGCACGAATGATGCCAGAGTGACTAATTTGCAATGCTTGTCAGACTTTTTTCATTTCACTGACTTTTTATCATGGAAATGAAAAAGTCAGACAAAAGGGACGAATTAGTTAATCTAAATTCCTTTTTGTAGGTCTGAGTTTCTATTCTATAAATAGGAACTGTGCTCAGCGCTATTATATTGAATGGCCACACCGCTCCGAGCCCCGGAAAGTATCCTTTGACTTCAAACGCTCTCTCAGCGTAGTCTGTGTTCGCTTTGAAGAAACGAAATGGGCGAGAGGAAAACAACTCAATTTCCCTCTCCTATGCCGGAGAAGTTTATTAAGTTACTTGAAGGTTTTCGTGTGTCCAAAGTACTATTTGCAGCGTGTGAATTGAGTATCTTCGACAAACTGCGCTCCGCATCCGTACCACAATCGGCCAGCGAAATAACGCAGACGTTGTCCTCCAATCTCGACGCCTCTACACGTCTCATGGACACCCTTGTGGCAATGGAATTCCTAGAAAAATCCAAACAGGGTGACCGATGGTTGTACAATAATTCTGAAATGGCCACTAAATTTCTCACCACAGAGAGTCCTGATTCCGCACTAGGGCTCATAAATTTAGAGAATAATATATCGTACCACTTCTACGGAAATCTAGAAAGCGCAGTGAAGGAAGGAGAAACACAGTGGGAGAGGATATATGGAAAATCATCCGTAGAGGTTTTCAAAGAGCACTACAACACCGAAGACGACACTTTACGATTCATGAGTGCCATGCATTTTAACTCACTATATGGAAGTTATGCTGTTGCGAAAGCCATGGATTTGAGCGAATATAGCAGCTGCTGCGATTTAGGAGGTAGGTGAAATTTGCTATTTCTCGATTTATGTTAAGTGAGAGTTTTCTCGAGCTGAATATGACGTGTCTCCGTAGACAGGGGTCCATGGTCCTGAAGTACAGTGGCCCATAAAGGACAGCACTTTCAATAATAATTTTCACGAACATTGTAAAAGAAAAGCGCTAAAAATTTAATATTACACTGCCACAAAGCAGTGTAAACCTGCACACTTCACTCCAATTTAACTCGCTATGCAAAAAAACACATCTCCACACTGCAAATAACATAAATTACCGCACTGGAAACAAGATATATCGGTGCACGCTGCAAACAGAATAGATATCCGCATTGCAACTAAAAAACTTTTGTTTTTACCCACTCCAACCAAAAAAATTGAACAATGCAAACAAAGCAAAATTGCAAAAGGATTTGCCTATGAGGAGTACATAGAACAAATATGAAGTGATGAAAAAATGTGCCATAAAAACTACGCAGTCGGAAAAACCACCCTGCTCGCTCTCTTCCTCCCTCGAGAAACCCTTAGAACAAAGTTGAATTTTTTCAGCAGGTTTAGTGACTTTAGAGGTAGTATTTAAACAGTGTAAAGAAGTGAGTTACACTCGCTTGTGTACCAAACCTTCTTCAAAACACTAAAGAAAAACATAGATTCATTGTTCAAGATTTTACGAAGTCGCATTTCATAGTTTATGAGCGATTTCAATCCTGAGTCTGTGTATCTGTGTAGCTTGCGGGATCAGGGTGCCAGCTCGAGAATTTTGCCCCATTCTTCTCACGGCTTAAATTCATTGCCGCGGCGCTCCGTGTGGTCTATGGCTGCCCGTTACCCTTCCCATGGTCCCTTGCGCTTCGTCACCAGTCACTCGCGTTTCGCGCACGCCTCTATGCGAAACCTTGATGCGAAACCATGTGAAAAGCGAAGCGCCTGAGGAGGAGGCTGGGTCTATGGTAAAAAGTATCCCGCGCAATAAATCCCGCTAGCTACGCAGGCTAGGGCCATATTTTCTCCAGCTATTTGTCATCCCGACGTTGTCAGATTTTATTCCACAAACTTTTAGACAACGACGCTTTGTAACAGTTTCATCTTATTTTGCTGACCTCAAGGTCTGGACGACGCCGTTGCCGTTTTTGATCTGCGAAATGAATTAAAGCTTAATTTTCCAATTATTTTGTCAATGTAACTAGGTGCTGTGGGCACTCTCGCCTATGCTTTGTGTCAGTTCAACCCTAAAATGAAGATAACAGTTTGTGACTTGGAGCCAGCCGTGAGTTTAGCCCATCACTTCCGACCATCAGTTGAAGCTTGCCCAAATCAAGCCAACGTTTCCTTTGCGGTCGGCGATTTCTTCAAACCTGAAACCATACCAAAAGCTGAACTGTATGTGCTGTCTCACGTTCTCCACGACTGGTCAGAGGATAAAGTTGACTTGATTCTTTCAAATGTCTACAAGTGCTTACCCTCAGGTAATTTTTAATGAAATACCAACACAGTCTTATTGCACGTACAATCAGAGACTGGAACTCTAGTTGCCAAATAGAGTCATTGAAGAGTAGCCAGTAAAAGCTTTTAAAATGGCTGTCATGTGCCATGTTTAAAAAAACGCTGACCCCGAAATATTTTGTTATTATTAGTTTTTTTAGCAATCGCACCTTGTATCATATTTTACTTCTAGCACATTCATATTTTTGCACATCTGCTGTTATGCCTTTTGCAGATCACACAATTAGAATTAGAATAAGAATTAGAAATCAAGTTCACTGGTGAAAAGTACGTAAGAACCTTTACGTTCGTAGGTTATGGAGTGTGGGCAAATTCTTCGCGATAATTATTCATACCCTTGGATTCCCGGGATTGACACCAGGGCCGAGTTGTTCAAGGCTGGGTTAAGATAACACAGGGTTAGTGCGAGATTTGAATTCAGATTTGAAAGCTTAAAAAGCATTTCACTTTTAATTCTTTTTGTCTACAAGTTGATGATTGGAAGCTCTAAAAATAACAGAGAAAAGTATCCGAGAAAATGCTTTCGAACACAAGAAAAAGAGACCCGGGTTAAGTGCTAATCGGCCTTCCAACAACTGGGCCCAGTTTCATTGCTAGAATTCTTAAGCTGACTGTTTGATTAACAAAAGGCATTTCAATTTCTGTCGCTCGAACGGCTTAGAGTCCGTTTCAGTACTGAATGGTATGTTTCCTTATTGTTTGAACAATCTTTCCCTATTACCACGAAAAGGGGCAAAATCCCCAGTTTTTATAGTTTCTTCTCTTTTTAGGTGGAGGACTTCTCATTTGTGAACAGATTTTAAACGAAGATAAAGACGGCCCATTGCCTGCCCTTCTTAACTGTCTTCTTATGTTGGTGGAAACAGGAGGAAAAGAAAGATCCGCTTCAGAATACAAGCATCTCCTGGAAAAGCATGGATTTGTAGATGTTCAAGCGAAAAAAGTTTATTTCTCTAAAGATGCCATTTTATGCAAAAAGTTGTAAGATACATCAAATGAAATTTTTGTCTGTGTTGCTATAAGAGCCCCGCACAATCTCGTATCCAGTGTCCTCAGGCTCCTTGGTTAGAAGATGGCTGTTTTCCCTTGGGACTAGGCTTTGACCGGATTTTGCTCGCAAAAGTAGCATAATATGCTGCTTGCAGTGTTCGTATATTTCTGAATTTACGCCAATAATTATGCTAGTTTTGGGAAATTATGCTTAGTTTAGCAAAAAATTCATAAATTATTATTAATTTATGCTCCTACTTTTTACTTTAATTTGGCAAAAACACCTTTATAAGTATGCAACAAACAAGTAAATGGCAAACACTATTTATCAGCAGAAATTTAATTTGAGTTCTGGGTCATGTCGTGTGGGTGCCAGGTTCCATGAATGAGACAATAAACAGACAAAAATCGATTGATTCTGTCACTTAAATTTACTGAACTGTTACACTGATCACAGGGCCAGAAAAAATGGTTACATCATCAATAATTGACAATTTCGTGCTACTAAACTAGCCACTGAAAAGTGCAAATTATGCTGGCGGTGCTTTTTTCGGAAAATAGATGAAATAATGAATTATGCCAAAAATTATGCTAGCAGAATAATGTATTAAAGCCTTCTAGGGACCACCCGATGACCTTGCCTATTCCATGTACGGCGTCTTCCCAACCGCTGACCGACAAGCCCAAGATTCTGGGCAAGGGATTAATAAACGCATTTCCTCCAGGTAATGGAGCATGGCTGAAATTGTGTTTGGTATTACTGTAGGCTGAGTTGACTTGAATGTTATGTAACTGTTTCAAGGTATAAAATTGTCATTAGAATTTGCAACATACTTTGACCAGATAGTCCTGTTTATTAAAAAGTGCGCCTTTTATACATTTACGTGGCATTTGATAATATAATAAAACATGTTCTTATGCTGTTCATTGTGATGTGACTCACACGGTACAGTTGGGTATGGCTGCATACAAACTAACGTCAGACGTAATTTGTAACATCTGACGCTGAAATGTTTACTGTCTTCACTTGGTTGAATTAGGATGAAGGTTAGACATTACCTGTTAATTTTGACGGTAAGATTTATTCCACTTTTACTAAAAGCAGTATCCAATCGTTTGCCTTTATTCAATACAGGAAGTCAACTTTTGGACTAAATTTCCATTTAATAACCGTCAACCGTAACAGCTAAGCCTCGCTGCCTCGGACAGCACAAGCGTCTTAGGCCCCGTTCTTCTTGTTCCGGGTAGCAGGGTTACTCGCCTACCCACGGTACCCTAGGTGAGCCAACTTCATTCTCGTCCCCAGAGCGTCCTGGGGGCCTGAGCACGAGGACCAGGAGGCTCTGGGGACACAGGATTTGAAGTCCTTAATTTTAGGACTTCCGGTCATTTCTGATTTTCTACAACGTTTCTAATAGCGTTCACTTGCTCTTGCCGAAGTGTCAATGGCTGTAAATTTAGCTAATTCAAAGCTTTGAAAAGACAACCTTCCACGTTACTTTTAAATCGGAAGTGACCGGAAGTCCTAAAATCTAGGACTTCAAATCCTTTGTCCCCATAAGTGTCCCCAGAGCCTCCTGGTTCTAGTGCTCAGGCCCCCAGGAGGCTCTGGGGACGAGAATGAGCCAACTTTTCCTATATTTTCGTACAAAACTTGGCGAACAGTTTACAACAAAAAGAAAACTTTGGCTCGGCTGGTCAACCTTCGAGCTGGGCCAGTGGTTGTACATATCAAGAGGGTCTCAATAGGGTTAACCGTCTGCCGTCAAAAAAGGTTATTTTTTACCGTCAACTGTCAAAAATGCAGAGTAATATTAACCATCAAAACGTTTTGAGGTATTTCAAATCTCACCATTTCAGCTGATCTTCACGGATTTTTGGCTCCTGAAGCATCTTTGAACTGGAGAAAGCACTAGCCATGTTCTCAAAACACTATCTCTGAAAATTACAAAACTTTACAACTTTCTAATATCTCTAGTAAAATATTTCGAAATTTTATATTTGAAAGGCCAAGTCAACCTCCAAAACACAACGTTTAATATTGATTTATACAGTAGTTAATACTTTCTTTAACTCTTGGGATAACTTTTCACTAAATAACCATCAACTGTCAAAGCTACCACCCCACTGAGAACATCTATCAAAACTTAGATCCAAAGATGAGACAGCAACAAGAACGTCAAAGAAAAAGAGCTTTACAACGCAAAACCACAACTTTGGATGTACATTACACTTTTTTGTTAATTTCTTTGCCGTGTTTTCATCCTGAAAATAGGGACCTTAAGCAAAGACGCTTTTGAGCAACGCACGTCAACCGGAAGTGAGGCCTTCTCCCTTTTTATATGTGTTGACGCTCACAAATTTGTATTGCTAAGTTTCTTTTCTCTTATAAAGACGATTTACCTGAGAGTTTCAACCAAACCACTGCCCAATGATGCAAAAAGTCCACTTCCGGTTGACGTCCGTCGCTCAAAAACGCTGTTGCTTAAGCTCCCTAATGCCAACTGAATTTCGGGTGGATTCGTTTGCAGGCATACGCGTCAGTAAAGCTGATGCATTTGCCTGCTGGAATTTTGTTATTGTTTTTAAGCTCAAAAACAATAAAAAATTCCAGCAGGCAAATGTGACAGCTATGTACACGTATATGTTGCAAATGAGTCCACCCTTCGTGTATTAGGGTCCGGTCATTATTTGTCGCCGCCTGGAGCGGGGGGGGGGGGGGGGGGGNGGGGATCACAGGGTTTTGAAGAGAACAGAGGGGGGTATCGGCCCTAATTGACAGGTACTAAAGGGGGACCAGGAAGGAGAAAATTATTTGAAGCGGTAGGATCAATTTATTACCTTTTTGATGATGTAGTTCAGACACGAACTAATATATAATGAAATAGTCAGTGGTTGTGCTTATGTATTAAACTAAAATTGTTTACGTTCTATAGTTTAAATGTTCACAAAGTTCCATGTTTTAAATTCTTTAGAGTCATTGAAAGGTATCCCCGTAAAAAGAACGTTCGATAACCGTGGCGGTACACCGTCATTACAAACAACAACAACAGAAGTAAGAAATATGACATGGTATATCAACAAGTGATTAGTTTAGTGCCCAGGGGGGGTATTCGGGATTTCAAGTGACGGGGATGATCGAATAGAGCCAAAAGTCAAGACCCAAAAAAATCCCTAGGGCTTCCAGCAAAACCCAAAAAAATCCCTGGACCAAAAATTAACCCCAAAAAAATCCCATGCCGATTTGGTGGCCCTTAAAAGTTCCAGAAAGGGGTAATGCTATAACACAAAGAAAAACATTGGAAATTCAAACAACAGCAAAACACGTTTGTTTGTACTTTATTCGCAGAACTACGCAGCCAGGGCACTACCGATTCTTTTTAATACCCCCAAAAAATCCCTACTCAAATCAAGCTACCCAAAAAAATACTTGCCAAATTTTCGTACCCAAAAAAATCCCGGAATCGAAAATTTCAAACCCAAAAAAATCCTTCGATCATCCCCGTCACTTGAAATCCCGAGTACCCCCCTGGGGTTTAGTGTCACTGCTTCGTCCCCCAGCGTTTCTTTGGTCGCCTCTTGGACGCCTCCCTTTAATCAGGAGAGTCCTCGTTTGAGCTTGAATCAATCTTCAGTGCTTTTTTCGTTTAAACTCAGCTACTACAACTTGCAAGGTACGGGTGATGTTTTTATTAAAAACGCCTTTTCCAAGCAGCAATAGCAGAGGGACGAGATGAAGACGCCTGACCAATTTCCCGGTTAACTCAGCATTGATGGTTGACCATGATGCTTGTAAAACTGGTGTCAGTTTTGATTGCATCAAACACCTCTCCGGCTACCTCTCTCTTGGTCTTTTGTTTTCTTTTTTCTGCGCGATTGTCGATCTTTCCCAATGTGACATGGAAACTTCACACCACACTGTATGCTTTAAGGGGGAATCACGTAAGTGCTCAGTTGTCGCAACAAAAATCCTCCCCCCCCCCAGGCGATAAATAATGACCGGTCCCTTAAGGAGAACGTGAACAAGCAACCAGGAAGTATTATTTCCCTTTCTGAACTTAGATATAGTCCCTAGGAATTCAAGTCCAGTTGGGTTCACCTACATTCAGTCAAAGTCAGTGGGTAGGAATAAAAAAGAGTACAAATTCACTTTTTAAGCGACCTTCTCGTTGCTGTCGCGTCGTTTTAAAGTCACTAATTATTAGAGCATGCGCTAACGCTGTTATCAGCTCTTGGCTCGGGTACTATATCGGTCACCATGAAAATCATACCTGATGGGGCTTCTGTTCACACACAAAAACGGTTGTGGCGGCGCGATTTCTGTGACGGAACGAAGCTGCGCGGCGCCGATCTCTAAAGTGAAGAGTCACATATCGGATAGATGTTCACACTATGACGGATAGCTTTGCGTGGCGCCACGAGAAAGCCATCACTGTGTATTGTAAACATAACCTAACGGCGCTTTCCATAAGTCAGAACTGGTCGGCCGGACCATGGCCAGACCAGGCATTTTGGAAATGAAATAGACGTTTTCCAGGAGGTTTTGCTGAAAAACCATCTCCTTTGAGCATAATGTGTAGGATTTGACTGATCTGGATGGTTATTGTTGATTAAAAATGAAATTCTCATTAAGATGGGAATAAGCTGGCCAGTCAGTTCTGACAAATGGAAAGCGCCCTAGGTTGACTGGGAGGCTGGCAGGCCTAGCCTCTTTCCCATTAGACAACTTTCTCTCTAAACGGGGCCTTTCAAAGGGCGCCCACGGGGTGTTAGGAAATTACTGCGTCATTATAGCGGGAAACTCGTCACGTGATCTGAAAACTGAACTTTGTACAAGAGTCTAGGAACTGTGGAGTCATTCGGAGTCGTGGAGCTGATCGAGTGTGTAGATTGAGAGTAGATCATCGAAACTTTACGCGAATTGATGTCCATGAATTCTTTAAGTGTAAAACAGAGTACAGAATTCTAAAATATGAACATGTGAAGAAATATACTTTCAAGGGAGTGACGAATTAAAGCTAAATGGAACTGGTTGTTTCACACATAATTCGTGACACGGGGTATTACACGACAGCATATCAAGCTGATCATGCAATAGCCAAACTAGTTTTGAGCCGGTTAGAATCCAGCTACTTTAAGGAAATTGAGTAATTTTAATTTTCAGTGGACAAAACCTTGTACCAGAATAATTTAAACAATATTGCATTCTTTTTGACATTTTTCAAGGGCTATAGATGTAATTAGTTATCTGTAATAACACCAAAGAAAATTTCTTATGGAAGCCCTAGAAAACGTATGTCAAATTGCACAAAATGACATCTTACACATGACATTTTCAG